ATCGAATCGAGCGGGTTCATCGAGCTGACGTGTCAACAAAACATTGGATCATCTCTCCGATTCAATTTCCTAGTTTACCAAAAACGGAACCGCGCCAAAAATTCTTTTCATCGTATTCTTTCAAACGAAATTATTTATTTGTTTTTGCGCGTCGAATGCATTATGTAACAAATTTCACTGGGTGACTCACATTCGGCCGGACGTGCGACTCTAGTTCCATTGCACGTAACATTCCTAAACTAATCAGCTTCATTAACACCGATTAATCCGCTCTGCTTCAGCGAATCCACAATGTTTGCTTTTCGCATTTCCAAATTTTATGACAATCTGAGTTGAATAACATTTTAACACGGCTTTATCTGATCGTTATTGCGTTTCCAAGATTCCAATATTCAGATAAGATTACGAGATTACGCACTAAACGAAATCAATAATACATTAATTTGCAACATTCCTTTATTTAATCTATCTATACTGTTAATAATATAATAGCAATTTGCGCTAAAATCTACATAGTGTCATAACAGATCGATATTAGTTTTATCAGAATTACATGGGGTGACATTACAAAAAATCGTTTATCATCAATAAAAAATAAATAATAAAAACATCAGTATACTTGAAATCATCAATACAACAGTAATACATGTTTTGGGTCAAAAGGGCATCAAACATTTAATCATTCAGCTCAATTTCAAGGTTGATGATATATTGATGTTTTTGATAAGTATTTAAAAAAAAACATATTTTCAAATTTGACTGTCAAAGTGTTATCTTTGACTGATAAAAAACTAATTAACTTCAAAGTTAGTAGTATTTTCAACTTACAACTAACTTTATCAACTATGAGGATAGTTTGTATTTCTGAAATGCAATAAACAAAGTAAAAAAGGATTGTTAAAACGAAATTACATACGTACTTTTTCTTGAAAACGTGACTTTAAATAAACATTATTCATTTAAAAAAGAAAAATAACCAGCGGTTTCTTGCGTGGTGAAACCGCGGAGGATTCCGAATTATGTAAAATATTTCCAACTATCACACAATCTGGGGATTTTTTTTTCCTTGTTTGTACAAGAAATTGCGTAATAAGTGAATGGCAATTATTTATTATTATTAATTTTTTTTTCCACCACTAATCTGAATTTGAAATCAGTTAATCCGTTTCATCGCGTTATCGGTGACCTCGACGATTTTCGCGTCGCCACGCATTTTCACGACATGTCTACAAAAGAATGGATAAAGATTAATCCTTAACTGCATTCAAGATTGCTTACGTAGTAAATAACAATTAAATAGAAATATGTGCTTTTTTAAAATCATATAGGAATTTTGTTTATTGAAATTATTTGGACCTGAAGACAAAAACAAAATATTATGGATATATTTAGGAAGGGATAAGACCTAGTACTATGCCTGTGGAACATTTACTGTCCTTGAAAAGGTTTTCAATATATTGTACAATCTACAATAATAATACACGTAATTTGAAATGTTTAGAAAGGTGAAATCTATTATTTTTTTTGGACAGATTTAATTCCTTCGAGGGTTTTTCCAAATCTCGCTTAAATTACTCGGTATTTAAATGTGACTCAACAATTATTATTTTTTTTTTTCGAAGAAATAGCTCCAATTGTTATTCGTTTAGCAATGCTGCATAACGAAAATAAAAAATTAAAAGAAAAAAAAAATTGCGGTCCATCCAAGGACGCCGAGAAAACGTTCGGCAAATTGGACTATCCGTACTTTTCCATCGCTCTGGGCGATCTTCCTTCCTTTTTTTTTTTTGGTTGGTTGGTTGTTATTTTGTGAGGTGACCAAGGAAACTGTAATTGGCTAAAGTCGCCTACTGCGATTTCAAGAACCATTACCTATCTTATGATGAGTCAAAAGAGACGGACAGGTCACGTGTATCGGAAATAGGAATAATAACGAGCTAGGCCAGCGTACATAAGTGTTTGTTTATCACATAGCCGGCTTCGCGCATACTACATACATCATACTTGGATCCAAGGACGTTTCGGAGGAGCACGTGATGTCCAAACAAATTGATCCTCGCGAGCGCACATAGCAGGGAATTATCAGATCGGATGGAAGGAGACGGATATCGTTCTGACAAATGCTTCGCAGTTGCATGGAAAGAGAAAGAGCGAGTGAGAATCGAGGTAATTCCTCTGATTAACATTAACCACCGCGGTTAATAATTATGTAATTGGTGGACAGCGATTGGATAATGGGAGACGAACCGAACTCGGTCACATGATAGGGATTTCAATTCGTTTCCTCCGCGGCTTTTGCGTTTATCCGCAAATTTGACGATGCATCATTATTATCTAACTAACAAAAAGGAAGCTGTCAATCATTAATTAAGTAAGAAACGTAAAAACAAATATTTACGACCATTGTTTCATTTGGCAAACAAACAGATGATGAATCCCGTTGCAAGTCGATGCATTTCCGAAATTACCTAAAACTGCGTCTATTTTTCGAACCATAGAAGAAAATAGAATTTTGTTACTAGAAATAATCACATTTAAATATAGACCACATGAACTATGCCCGAGGTTTCCTGATGATCTAAGCATACTTAAGTATACAAAAAATATAAACTGTATACTTAAGTTGTAGGAAAATAAACAAATAATGATGTTGCAACGGTAATTGTTTTGAATTCAATCGAAAACAAAATAATAACCAAATCATTAATTAAATTAAACAACGGATTAACCAATACATAAAACGCATCCATATTCCAAGAGATAATCAATATTTAGTAAATTTAATAATTTCATAATAAAAATCTCAATATTAATTAACTATTTTATTTATAGAAAATGCGAGGTAAAATTAAAAAAAAAAACAATGAAACATTAACATATCTTCGAGAGTTCTGTTTGTGCTTCTCTTGAAACCAAGGAAATTGTCATTCAAGGTATCCCCGCAACCGGAGAAAGTGGCTTAAGTCAAGCAAGGAATCCATTGTAATCCAATTAAAAGTAATTACTTCCGATTGTTTTTGATTGATTGCATTCATCCAAATAATGTTGGCGTTGTTTTTAATTTATGTTTACTTAATTTTGTTGATGAATAAATCGCGTTTAATTAAGCGTAGGAAATCATTAAACGAAGATTAATGCAATTGTGAAGACTCTTGTCTGTTACCAGTTTAGCATCATTTAATCATCGCGTCGGGATGAATGAAAACGCGAATTGAGTTAACTTAATTATATTGTTTGTTCAGTTTGTTCTTTGAATCCAATTGCATATAATGTAAACTTATTAAAAGCATTAATTACTGTTTTTTTTTTAAATTTAAGTATCAATAATTTTCAGTAATATTAAAAGTTTTTGTTAAATTATAATTATACAATTAACTTAATTATGTTTATAAAAAATCAATTTAATTTAAATTTATTATTTAAATTGATTAAGTGTGAAGTAATTTTCAATAAACGTTTTTCATTATTTTATCAGATAATTCTACTTGATGTTATTTTAATGGTTCTGACGCAGGTTGTGTTAACAATGATTGCAACAAAGAGTCATTTATCACTTTAGAAAAAAGAAACAAAAAGTTTTTTGATACGAATTTTATCAAGTGTAGAAAATTCACTTTATCAATAAGTTTGTATAATTATAAAAATAAGTAAGTTTTATCATTTAAATCTTGAAATTTCAATAGAGTTCTTAGTGATTTATTTAAATTAATAAAATTTGTAAACAAAATTCGAATCGTTTTGCTTAAATTGCGTCGAGAATATTAAGTATAGCATTGTTGATCCTTGACCAAATTGTTGTAATTGTTTGTAGAGTTCCAATTTTGTTTTCTGCGTTGCAAATTTTTTCTGTAGGTCTTGCATTCGTTGTAGGTTTGTTGATGCATGAAGCTACGGAGTGGAAATGCGTTCTTAGATTAGCATGATTCGATCATAGTTAAGTAATGAAAATTGGTTACTTAAGTCAAATTAATTGGTCGGAGGCCCGTCGAAGGGAAGCATAGAATATGTATAAGAGTGAGCGAGAGGGAGGGAAGTGGAGGAGTGTTGCAAGTCGGAAACTCCATTCAGGTTTCGGTTTGATGACTCGCACCATGCCATGTGCTAAATGTTGATGATATTTGTTGATGGTCTTCGCGCATGTCCGACGCAACGCGCCGCGCCGCTTATTTAGCTCAGTAAATGTTCAGAACTGCTCAGAGAGTTTTCGTTCGGTCGCTGGAGCAGTTTTCAAATCCTCAAGCTGAAGACGCAGCATTATATTTACAAATAATATATATATAAACACGAAGAGGAAAGAATCATGACCGGTTCATCTGTGGTTTCAGGTCTCTCCAAGAACGAATGCTACTGCGCTCCTCCAGACTACAGCCACGGTAAGTCCAAAAACACAGCATCTTTAAAAACAGAGAGGATCAAGACAAACAACAAAATTTATAAATATCAGAAAATAACAATTTGCAAAGCAATTTCGATTCACGTCTCCTCTACAAGAAATAAATACGAAACGAAAAAAAAAACTCTTCACCGGCGGCAAACCGTGGGGGGAAACCCCGCTGTTGCCAGAGCGACAACATCGCGCGATTCGGTGACCTAGACCAGAGTTTCCTATGTTGCGCGCAAACCGTTCCAAGGCCCAACCCTATTTTTAAATCGACTCAACTCAGAAGCACGAACGCACGAAAATGATTTTTTGCAAATTAAATTTCCAATTGGATTAGACCAGAGTTTCCCCTTTCCTTCAGTCACGTTTATATTTCTTTTTTTTCCGCCTCTACTTTGCATACTTTCTCTTTTCCCATCGGAACACATTTTTAATTCATAAGTTCGCATGATCAGAAAACGCGATTGTTTGTTTATTTTTTTTTTCGTAATTTATTAACACCAGCAGCAATTAATTTAAAAATAAATAGCCTTATCGATTATGCACGATCATTAAATAAAAACAACTGATTTCATCGTGGGAGCATTAAAAAAATAATTAATTGTTAAGAAACGCTTGAAAACATATTTCAATTAACTTTTTATTTTTTTCGATGAGGAAAACAATTTTAAGTTGTAACGTCACGTCTATTTTATAATAAAATTTAATTATCTAACAGCAATTTGTAAATCAGTCGAAAATCTATTAGTTTTTTTTTGTTGTTGTTTTTCGGATAATTAAAATGAAATACAAATTTAGCTGTAGCGAAAATAGATTTGATTTTGGTAATTTACTAAAAATACACGTTTGTTAATCCAGTAAAATCCGAAAATTTTAACTATCTCGAGTGAATCCACTTAAACGTATCAAATTTCGAATGATAATTGAATTGATAATTACCGATTTTATTAATATACACAATATCATTTTTTTTTAAATTTTTTTTCGCTACCGCCGCCGCAGCTCATGCCTAAATTAATTTTCTCCACTCTATTTGGTTCCGCTTTCGCCGCTAATTCTAATCATTTGCTCAAATTAACAAAATCGATGTTGTTTGCTCGACGCATACCAATTTTACGTTCCTCCCAATACGCTTAAAATTCAAAAGTTCAATCAACTTTTTAAAATCGCAACAAATAACATTAACTTTTACTAAAAAACGTTAATTACTTTAAATAATTTAAATTACTCATATTAATAAATTCAAACACGTGCATTTTCTATTCATTAATAACAGATTTATTTCTTATGCTAAATTATTTAATTTTGTTAAAATATCCTTGTATTACATTAAATTGATAACTTCAGTAATCACAATAGTTATTGTTTAATTTAAGTAACAATAATGTTTTTGTCACATGTTTTCTCGCTTAAGTCACGTTCTGTTTTGATCATTTAATCGAACACTCTCAAACCAATTCTACAATACTCGTTACATGTTAAAATTATATTATTTGCATATAATATTCACTAAATTAATTGAAACATTTAACATTAACTTAATTTATTTCACATTTTAATAACTTAAGTCACGTTCTGTATTTATTGTTGTTGTTGTTCGTTTATTTAAATGCACGATTAATATTCGCATCACAACTTAAGTTGTATTAACTTTAGTAACGAATTAAATTACAACTGAATTAACTGCATGCACGTAACCGAATTAACTTGCCGTCAGTTTACGTTACTTAACTTTTTCTCTTGCTTCAAAGTTTAGTTTGCTACAACTTTTTACACCGCTTAAGTCAAAGTGAATGTAAGTATTATCGATGTACGTGTTGCGTTATTTCGTGCATTTCATTAATAAAAAAAAAAACAATACAACAATTAGTAATGAAGGAACACCAGCAAAAAGTAATAATTGAAATTTTATTGATTTGTAATTTAATTTAATTTTCTCAATGAAAGTGAAAGTGAAATAATCACGATCACTCATGATAAATAAATTGAAGCAAATACGAAACTAATCTATCTAATGAATTACATAAATACGCCATTTCCTATGGATTATCTCGTTAGTGAAGAAACGACAGAGGCAAACAAAACATCGTGCGTTTCTGCTAATTGAAAGGTAAACAGTTGCAGTGTAAACTAGCTAATTTGTACTAATTAGAAGTAAGCAATCAATCTGGAAATGCTCGGGGAGTAAATTAAATTTGCATCGGATCGAATTCGAATATAGGGTCAGTCTGCAGATATAAATTACCTGAGTTATCTTCATAGGAAAATTGATAAGTTATCCAAAAAAAAAAAGTAGTTCAAGATAAATACCAGTTGATAAGAATGTTGCGATAAAGTGTATAGTAAATTAACTTTAGTAATAGTAAATGGTTTATTTCTTGTCATCTGCATTACACGGCTGTCCTTGCTGATACCAACATTTTATTACCTGGTCCGTCTATTTACCTATTTATTTCTTATCGTTATGCATTTACTTAAAGCATTATTATTTGCATTCAAAGCTATTTTTTTTTAAAACATGTTTGGGTATTTCAAAATTTATTTAAATTTTACTTAAGTTAAGCTTATTTCAATGTTCTAATTGGATTTGTTAACTCATTTATCTGATGTTAGTAAAAATCGGTAATTTGTATGTAAGAAGAGTGAGAATAGATGGCTTTGGAAAATTATAATTTAATAAAAAAAACGAAAGTTGCAAATGCCAAAGTTGACGTTGGTGGAGGAAATGTTTTATCGGACGAAACGGAAATGAGAGAGTCTTCGAATTGTAAAGACTGCGAAGCATCTGCTGTGGATGTGAGTAATTTGAACAAAGATTCTCGATCTCAAGAATGCAGTAAGTAAAATATATTATTTGTTCCACTAAAATTTTTCAAACAATTTCTTGATTGTTGTTTTACCAACATTGCAAATTTGAATAAATTAAACAATTGATAATCACATAAGTATTTAAAAAAAAAAAGAAGTTATATCTAAACAAAATTTTGTTAATAAATTTATTTGTATTTCATTAATTAAAATATTTTTTAATTATTTAATTAAATTTTAACGATATTGGGATAAAAATTAGTTCTAAATGGCTGAGAAATTATTAAAAAAAAAATGTTTAGTACAATAGTAAACTTAATTAACTTCCTAAGTATGAAACGTGTATTGTTGGCTTTGTACCAAAATAAAACGATGTGGCAATAAATAAACAGCATTGAACTGAATATGTTGCTTATGGCAATGATCAGACTTTTCTATTCTCACTCTTGTACACTCTTCTTTCTTTAGAAAAAGAAAACGCTTTAAAAGAGAGCATTGCACTTATTTACGTCGAAAAAATGATCAACGAGATGAACAAATTAATTATGCATCATTAATTCATGGTGAAGAACTGCTGCAACGCAAAATGTTGACAATTGTTTTGATCGTTTCCAGATGAAGATGCCCATATTATGGTGGAGGAGTGGCGGTTGCAGAGCGTGCAGTCTCCGATCGAGCTGAAACACGAGGAGAGCAATGCTTATGACCACTTCGAGCCGCTCGAGTTCCACGGACATTGGGACAACGAGGGCACGGCCACGTTCACGAACAATGGCTATACTGGTACGAAGATGATCAAAGGTTAAACTACAGAATCCTCATGTTAATTGTTTGTTTATAGCGACTTTGCGGTTTGCTGACAGGGAGATGCCTGTTCTTTTTGGCGGGCCTTTACACGAGGACAAATACGTTTTCGAACAGCTCCACTTCCACTGGAGTGAGGATGACCATAGCGGCTGTGAACACATCTTCGAAGGAAAAGCGTAAGAATCATTTAATTATATAAGTATAAGATTATAGCACAACTTGGATATTTGTCTATTTCAAACTACATAATATTTCAATACCTTTCATTGAATTATATTATTGTTACTTCAATTTGAATATCTATTTTTTTTAAATAAGAACTATTAAAACTTCCTTCTTTGTTGGAACACGGAAATACCTTCAATTTAATTGAAAGTTTATAATCTTCTTAGAATGGTTTCTTTTTACAAGAAAGCAAGAATTATTAAAGTAAGTGGGTTTACCCACTTACGAAACGTATTTTTACTAAATTAAGAACGAAATTTAATCACCTAAACACTAGTCGTGTCAAATTATCCGCTGCAGTTTTTTTTTGTTGTTGTTACGTAAAAGCGAGAAAAAAAGTTTTATTATTATTGTAATATGATAGCTCAATGACCCGAGATACATTTGATGACTTACGTAACTCTCATATTGCAACACTAAGCTTGTATTCTCAAACAAGAGTTTATGCAATAATGGTAGGAAACACCGTTGAATCATTTTGGAATGCAAACAATTGGTATTAATATCGAGGAAACGTGCTTCCTGATTTTATTTCCTATTTTTTTTATCTTTGAAAATCTACTATTTGATTTACGGTTTCATATATTGTCATATGTTAAATGTAGCATGTAATTAATTAAACAGTGGGACAGGTCCAAGGTCTTCGTTAAAAGAGCTTCGAAATGCTGTAACTTTCGCATCGAGAAGGTCGTTTATCCGAAAACGATATCAACAAAAACATACTTTCGTTTGTAAGAAACTTGGTCCTTGTGAATTATGAATCATCGAAGATGAAGTTTGCAAATATATCTTAGAATTCGTTTTTAATGATATGCGAGGATATTGTAAGATTTACAGGAAGGAGTGTGCGTTGAATACAGGAAGGAGTTTTCGTTTAAATGACAAGGACTTTCGACGCGAATCAATTGTGTTGTATAATTAATTGTTTTCTGATCTCATTTTTGATATATTAATGCTTAAAAGAGAAAGGTTAAAAAAACATCTTTGAAATAGACTTATTTTAACAATTAAAGTTAAGAAGATTTGAGATGAAATACTCATTAGAAATTCATTTCGAAAGTGGTTGATCTTTTTTTTTTGGGGATTGAAGATTATAATTGTGGTGTGTCAAGACGTGTTGACGAAGGATGGAAGTACCTGAAACTACTTATTTTTTAATCCTCAAACAAGAAATTGTGGCATCTCTTAAAAGATTAATATCTAAATATTTAAAAGGAAGGTTTGAGGATTTTAGAAGCAGATTTATATTCATGATTTAAAAGAAGGGGGGCATGGATTAGGTTTTAAAAATTTCAGATAATTTGGTTATTTATGTTCTTTCTATTTTAATTATATGTTATTGTGTTTTTTATTACTGTGTTCAAAACACTTTATTGCAAGGTTCCTTTTTTAGGCTAAAGGTTAATTTTATATGGTTTTGATTCATTTTCATAATTCGCATTAAGAGCGAAAATTGCAGACGTTTCTTATTTTTGATTACAGAAACAACGTGTGATTTAGATTTATTATTGTTAATCGGAAGAAAAGTCCGAATAAACCCTTGGCACAGTTATCCATTGATTAATAAATGTAGTTGCAAATTATCTTTACTCAGATTGATTATAAATACACAATTAGAAGGAACCTGAAGGTCGGAAAAACGAGAAGGAAGTACTTTGATCTACTTATATCATTCGATATAATAATAGACTGTGATTACCTCAGTGAAACAATCAATTCTATTGAAGCGACAATAACACACTAAAAAAATATGTGACAACTCGAAGTGAAAAAAAAGGACTTCGAATTCAGGTCAAAGTAATCTTGTGTCTTGTATCAATGACAAAAGAATCCGTCCGTCCGCTTGTATAACTCGATTAGTCTTAAACGTGTGCACGGAAAAGAATTATAATAAATGCGTGATTATTGCTGTAATCATAATGCGAGACCTTCGATGTCGACTGATTTTGCATACGATGAGAACGTTTGCATTGGAAAACACGCGCTCGTGCGTTGCCCACTTTCTACACGAGACAACAACAACAACAACAGCAGGTCGCATCATCGAGGTGCAACAACATTTTCCCACGATTCTCACTAAAAAAGGTCGTAAGATGAGCTTCTTCTAACTCTCTTTTCGCTGATCCAAAATGTTCATAAAAAAACAAATTCTTCACAATAACATCTTGTGACTATAAATGATCAAAATAATAAGGTGTAGGAAAAGTAGCTATTATACTATGTGTTATTATAGTATTTAATAATAGATTAATTTTTATTGTTTTAGTTTTTCAATGGAAGCTCATGCGGTGCATTACAATCAGAAGTACGGGACTTTTGGGGAGGCAGTGTCCAAGCACGATGGACTTGCGGTGGTGGCTTTCTTCTTGACCGCTACCGATGACTTCGAAAACGAATGCTTCAACAAGCTGAGCGAGGCCGTGAAGAACATCGTGAAGATCGACTCTACGACGTCGGTTCGCGCCGACTGCTTGACTTGGATTAAGGAGGAAGCTCAGTGCAAGGGCTACTACACCTATCAAGGCTCCTTGACCACTGAACCCTATAACGAGAGCGTCACTTGGATCCTCTATCCGACTCCCATACATATCTCACGACAACAGGTAAGAGAAATACAGAAGGTGGCACAACGGAGAAAACTCCAACGATTGATATTTTGTGAAAAACAAAATGGAAATTATATGAATCAAGCTAATAATTCCTTTAAATTCATATATAGAAGAATAATTGCATTTATGTAAATTCATAACGTTGTTTATGTTACAGGTGGATAACTTTAGGGAGATGAAGTCCACGCCGTGCGAACAGCATAACATCGTGAATAACGTGAGGCCACTCCAAGCAGCACACCCCGACAAGAAGTTGGATCTGATTTACGCACGTTCACACAAGAAGAGCGAATAACCGACCTATCCTTACCATACTATTTATATTATTATTTTTTTTTCTCTAATTTTATTCTTTGGAACTAACTTCATTATTTCTTTATAAGAATTAATCGTTGTTTGTAGAGAGACAAGCGTACTGCAATTTGTATTCTTTTTAAATACGAAAGTGTTATGATATATTTATGTGAAGTAGAAAATGTTAGTATATATATATATATATAAATTATATAAATATTTTTATAAATATTGGTGGAAGGTTATAGACGAGCATGTAGACAATATACAAAAATAAAATCAATTATTGTTGATTCTTGCATGAACCTGTCTCGTCGCTGCTATTTGTTGATACCTTGTCGAAACCAATGGTGGAATCGTAGTAAGGCAGATGCGTGATTTCTTCGTCGTCGTCGCGTGGGCTGTCGCAAATACAGACCATTTCTTCTTCGAGATCATCGATGAATTCAACTGTAGTGTCTCCATCGATGCTCGTCTGCAAGTTCCTATCCAAAATCACCTCTTCGGGCGTCATCGTTGTGGACATCTCTTGAGTATCCGGCGGGAACGGTTGAGTAGGTACTGCGTACATAGCACCCTCGGTTTTCGGTTTAAGCACATCACGTTTCGGGTAGTAAGCCTTCAGAACCGACCACAAACTTGAATCGCTCTCCTTGAGATCCGGTTTCTCCTTGGGCACTAACTTAAGAACGCTCCTGATCCTCTCAACTTTACCCGACTTCAGGGTTTGCGAAATGACCTTCTTCAAGTCGAAAACTCGCATATCAATCATCGAATCGTTTCTCAGCGGATCGTACTGGCTGTTGTGGATCCTCTGCAATATGTTATGTGGAATCTCTGGATTCGGTAGAAGATCAAAAGATACGATCATATCGTCTATCGCTTTACCCAGATTCGTGTAGAAAATCATGTACATGCTGTCGTTGTACTCTTTCTGCAAATTTTCCGGTATGAAGATCTCCTCGTCTGGTTCAGTCTCCTCGAGGATTTCCTCCAAATCGGTTAACATCGAAACTCGAGAAGCCGTTGTTTTAGTCTTCTCGCTTAACGATTTACTTTTCTTCTTCTCTTTCCCTTTCTTAGCCTTTTTATCCTTGCCTTTGCCTTTTCCCTTGGTGGATCCTTTTTTGCTGGCAACGATACCGTGGTACGCGTTGTAACGTTTGGTGTACTCATCCAAGGGAATCTCTTTGGTCCATTCGGGAGCTTCTTTGTCTATCTTTTTTGTATACGGCTCAGAAAACACGCGATTCTCAACAACTACTTCATTGGCTATCTCATCGAAAACCCTCATTCGCTCCAGATAATACCGATCGCGACTTTTTGGTAACAATCTTTGCACGTCAATCGAATCCTCGAGTATCACAACCTCTTCGCAAATCCGGTCGATATAAGTGCAGAGAATAGTGTAAGCGACGTTCATCCTATCGAAACGTTCGTTCTTCCATGATTTCGGAGATTCCAATTTCTCAATGATATCCTCCAAATGATCGCCTAGTGTCTTAGGCAATGGTTCCCTTACAGGCTCGACGATCAAATCGACTTTACCCTTCTTTTTTCCTTTTTTTCCATCTTTACCTTCTTTACTTTTCTTGGAACTATCTTTAGACTTTTTACCTTTGGATTTTGGCGATTTTGCACCACCCGTCTTACCTTTTTTACCTTTACCTTTGACATCTCTCGTCCAGAAACACTCAACTTTATCGTCGATTTCTTTGTGCTTCGTTTTACAAACCTCGATCTTGTCTAAAATATCCTCCAGTTCTTTCTCATACTGCTGTTCCTTGTCGAAAACCTCCCTATCGTGAGTTACAGCCCTCAATGTATCCAACTTATAATCCCAGCACTCGGGATGCTGCTCCAATCGAACATCTTCGTAAAACGCCTCCAGCTCATCAACCACTTTCTTATCATACAAATACTTGGGACGAAAGTGCATCGGGTCGTAAATGGAGTTAACCGCCTCGAAGACAGTCGCCTTATCGTAAGTGTACACCATGATTTCAGCAGGTTTAAGCGGTATCTTCTTGGTTATATCCTGAAGTACTTCTTTGATCAACCTGGAGCGAATTTGATTCTCCAGACGAGCCGTGATGCGATGAAATTCATCTTCCATATTTTTCTGTGAATTCGCGTCGACTTGCACCAATACCTTCAACTTGTTGTGCCAAAGATCAGGATTTAAAATCATCTCGTAAGTTTGAGAATACTGCGCGCAGATCTTGGATTTAAACCAAATCGGATAATGGTACTTTTCCCCGGGTAGAAGAATCTTTATGTTCTGATCATTGTAGAAGGCGCGTTTCTGATCCCCCTTCGGTTTGATTAAGTCTTTCATCAGTTTTTCAATTACGACTTCCTTAAAGTAAAAACGTAATGCCAAATTACTGCAGTTCTCTAATTGCATGTAGATTGTTTCCAGTTGGGTGCAGCTTGCTCCTTCGAGATACAAGGTTTTCGAGATCACCCCTTCACTGTTAGAGTACAGTTTGATGTCGTCGATTTTGAAGAAGCATTTGGGTTGGATCGGTTCATCTTCGTCGCTGCTTATAATGCTCTGGGTGGGTCTGTAAATAGGTTTTGGAATTGGAATTTCCATCAGACGATTACCGACAATCATCATGTTTGCAATGTCCGGCTTATGAGGTTGTATAAGAGGGACATTCTCGTCGTGCAGTCTGTACCACAAGTAATGGGCATTCCCCCAGTTCGCTCTTCTATTGCTCTCCACGTGTTTCTCCACTCCAACGACCTCGGGCACTTTCACATACTCAATGTCTGGTATCAAATACTTTTCCTCTTTGGTCATCGTCGTGAAGTAGGTCTGGCATAGGTCCATCTGATGCAGAGCTGTTGGACACTTCCAGAAGGCCGGGTTTCCTCGATATCGGTCTTGCGGGTTCGGTATGTTCAGATACTGCACAACCATCTGGTCCTCTTTGAATTCCCTTATCTTCTCGTGGGCATTCATTAAAACCTCGCACTTTCTCCTCTTTGTCGCCATCGCGATCTTCTCGTACATCTCCTTACGCATCTTCATCCATTTTCTCCAATTCACCAGCCGACTGTCCTCTTCCACCACATGCTTATGGCATTTGCATTTATAGTGCTTTGGACACAGATGATGAGGAAAATCAGTTACAGACATAATTCAAACTATTAATTAGGCACTTATGACAAATTATATAATATTTTCAATAGTTGCGTAACAACGAAGTACAATATATAAAGTAAACTAAATACAACTCAACTAAATACAAAACAAACTCTTTAGGAAATAGCATTTTCTAAAAATAATGGTATTTTCAAATTTTTAAATATTGGTATTTTAAATTAAATTCAAATTTTGTTTTAGAATGTAAAATCTTAATTTACTTAATAAATATATCCTATATAATGATGATTCTATATTGAAGTGTATATAATTTCAGATGATCGTAGTATATATTGACTATTACGTTGGAATTGAAAAGACAAGATCCAGTAAAAATGAACTGTTTTATCTGACTGTCGTTGTCAGATCGCATTGTAGTGCGACTCTAAATTCCTCGTATACTTGAGAATAATGGCTTCAGAAATAGCAATTGACGATGAGTATTCTATTGGTAACACGAGCACCACCGAGATCGAAGATCTTCCGATTCACGAGGGTGTACAAAAGGTCTTGGATCTGGTGCACAACTGCACCGTTTACGAATCACCAATAGACATCCACATTCCTAACACGGTGAAGCTGGAACTACCCCCGTTGACCTGGCATCATCTGGAGTTGCCACCGAAGAAAGTGAAACTGACAAACACAGGACACACAAGTAAATGCCCCACGTTTTCATCGGTTTTATCGAAATCGTTTTTACGTGTTTTCAGTTATCCTGAGCGCCAAATGGTTACAGGAACGACCGTATCTTTCGGGAGGACCGTTCTTGGGCAATTACGTGTTCTCGCAATTGCATTTCCATTGGGGCGCCAATAACATGGAAGGGAGCGAACATACGATCAGTGGATGTCAGCAGCCTCTAGAGATGCACGCCGTCTTCTTCAAAAGCTGCTATCTCACTCAAGAGAGCGCTTTAAAAAAGAAAGATGGGATGTGCGTCATAGCATTTCTTTTCAACGTATACCATTTACTAAAATCCTTTAATCTCTTATAATGTTCGAATGAATTTTCCAGCTTCAAGATGAACCAAATCCAGCCATAGACATTTTAACGGATGCAATTGAAAGCATTCGCGAACCTCATACTTCCTACCGACTGCAATCTTTTCCTCTGACCACGTATTTAAAGCCATTTCTAGACGATTACTTTATGTACTTGGGTTCAGTAAATACGGCTTCGTGCATTCACCTGATTCTTTGGTTGATCTCACGTGAACCGATAGGAATTTCCATAGATCAAGTATTACACAGTATTGTATGAGAACATATGTAATTTATAAGAACTGTAACATTTTCAGATGGAAGTTTTCCGTTCTCTTTTGGATGCTAACTACGAACCTCTTCATCGCAACTTCCGAGAAGTGCAGCCCATGTTCGATCGCACAGTTTACCATGCGAATCCTTCAGGTTTCCTTCACAGAACTATGCTCATACTGCAGAAACCAGTGAACACAAAGAACATACAAAGTCCACAACAAGTTAACAAGTATCCAAGGTCATCCAAGGAATATGTAGGAGCGACGATCTTCAGAACTGAAGTTGTGGTGGATCCATACAAGAACGATAGAACTGATGCTAAAGAATCAAAAACATATACAATGAATGCGAAGATCAACGTTGATCCAAAGATATTGGAAAAAATTAAGCTGGCCCAAAACAAACAAAAATAAACATTATTAAATTTATTAAATTTGCAATTATCTAGTGGGATTCACAAAAAAACTAAAGACATCGAAAATCATTGTTTCTCGGTTACGTAAAAACATTATACAACTGATTTTCATTGCAACCCCAGAAAGGTAGTAAAAGTATTTATTTTTTCAGGAAGACTCATTTCCAATGCCCATGAATCTGAAAATACCGAAAATTTTAAATTGCAGTTCATGAAAATTCAGGCAGATGTTTCTGCTTGACATAATTAAAATGCATATAACTGGAAAAATAATTTGCATTTAACTTAATAGACTGAAGTAATAAAATAAGATTCATTAAATCACTATTTTAATACTTTGGTTTATGTAAACTAATACGATTTGAAGGAATTGGATTTTGTGCAGCGCCAAAATGGCCGAACTATAACCTTTGCTCTTTTGCTAACAGATGGCAATAGCTACAACAAAACGGAAAAATTCATTCTACGCCTAAAGTGCAGGCAACCAATCATGTATATAACTTTTTGTGAACAAATAGAAAAATAACGTCTTGGAAAATGGCTTGTATTTTCGTATAAAACAACTCCCAGAAGATTTTTGGACATGGATGTTAATCTTTAATATACACAGATTAGAATGAGCTTAAATATAGGTTTGTAGCTGCAACGGCGTCTTCATAATCAATTAACAAACTTTCGCATTTTACTAATGACATATGGTAAAATAACGACTTCGAAAATGGCTTGTATTTTTGTATACAGTAACTCCCAGAAGATTTTTAGACATGGATGTTGATCTTGAATATACAGATATTAAAACCAGCTTAATTATAAGTTTGTAGCTGCAATGGCCTTTTCAGAATTAAATTACAAACTTACTGGATATTCAATTTTTTTCTAAATTGTAGTTTAAGAAAATTCCGGCAGATAAGTCTGCTTGACTTAATTAAATTGCATATAACTGAAAAAATAATTAACATTTAACTTAGTAGACTGAAGTAAAATATAAGATTAATTAAATCACTACTTTCAATATTTTGTTTTATGTAAACTACTTCGATTTGAAGGAATTGGATTTTGTGCAGCGCCGAAATGGCCGAACTACAACCTTTGCTCTTTTGCTAACAGATGGCAATAGCTACTACAAAAACGAAATATTCATTCTACGCCTAAAGTGCAGGCAACCAATCATGCATATAACTTTTTTTGAACAAATAGAAAAATAACGTCTTGGAAAATGGCTTGTATTTTCGTATAAAACAACTCCCAGAAGATTTTTGGACATGGATGTTAATCTATACACAGATTAGAATGAGCTTAAATATAACTTTGTAGCTTCAACGGCGTCTTCATAATTAATTAACAAACTTTCGCATTTTACTAATGATATATGGTAAAATAACGTTTTCAAAAATTGCTTGTATTTTCGTATACAGTAACTCCCAGAAGAATTTTTAGTATGGATGTTAATCTTTAATATACACAGATGAAAATGAGCTTAAATATAGGTTTGTAGCTGCAACGGCGTCTTCATAATTAAGTAACAAACTTTCGCATTTTACTAATGACATATGGTAAAATAACGTATTCGAAAATGGCCTGTAGTTTCGTATACAACAACTCCCAGAAGATTTTTAGACATGGATGTTGATCTTGAATATACAAATATTAAAACGAGCTTAATTATAAGTTTTTAGCTGCAACGGCGTCTTTATAATTAATTAACAAACTTTCGCATTTTACTAATGACATATGGTAAAATAACGTCTTCAAAAATGGCCTGTAGTTCCGTATACAACAACTCCCAGAAGATTTTTCGACAAGGATGTTGATCTTGAATATACAGAGATTAAAATAATCATAAACGCAGGTTTATAGCTACCTTGTTAAATTAGTTAAATACAGAAATATGCATTTTAATTAAGTCAACCAGAGTCATCTGCGGGAATTTTATGGAATTACAAATTTGTCAGAACAAACGCTCGATAACCAATCAGAATCGTCCGTTTGTAAGAGTACAGTTACCTCTTCGCTACTCATTGTCTCCTGGTATAAATCGAAATTTTCGGTCGTTTTCGAGCGCAATGAGGGGGCGTCATGCGTTTCGACTTGCAAAAACCGCGGACACATTAAACCTTAATAACTTTCTTATTAATTGACCAAAATTTATGTATTTTATAGCAAACGAAAGCGAATTAATCATTCTTTAGAACTATCAATTTCAAATATATATGAGAATAATCTTTTATTTATATATATTATTTAATTCTTGATATAGCTTCACGTTATTTAAATTAATCGATCACCACTCGTGCTAATTAAACTATCAAATACGGAAATTATAGACAAAACTACAACTTTTCAAATGAGCTATCTTTCGGCATTGTGATTTGCTTGGTACATCTATAAGTTATCAAAACTAAGTATTTGCATTTCATTTGTATGTTATATAAAAGCGTTAATTTTTCTTTCTTAAATTCATTAATAAAAACATGGAAAACTGTCGGATCGCAACGTTTGTTACATAACGAGATGCCTCATTATTCAATGAAATGAAGGAAGCTTCGAGATATTAAGGAAAATCGTTTTTTTCCATCGTAGTCCTTTTTTAACAAAATTTTCAAAATCATTACTCATTTTTTTTCAGCCCATTCGAATAGTAATTAATTATGTTTTAGATTGATTTAAGAATGTTAAACATTGAGACCTATGCCTTCTCCAAATTCATTTAAACGACAAAATGAGAACCATTATGTCTTTTAGCTTCTTGACGATCAGATACGATTTATATCTACTCAATTCAGAGCTACGTAAAAACGTATTTTTGATATTAAGATGATAATAACACATATTATGTATTTCCTCTTATTTTTATATTTTGTACATTTAAAAACAGTTCCATTCATTCGTTCAGGTATGTGCGCTAATATACAACAACTCGTGTTCAATAACAACAGTGTGATTGTCGCTTCACTAAATATTAATTATTAGATTAAATATTAATAATCGGGCGTGTTGCACAGTTTAACCAGTGAAATATGAATGATGGTGAACGAAAGAAATTAAAATAATAGTTTTTTGGTGGCAGTTCGCGAGGCCCATTAATTATTGTCTAATGAATATCACTAAACGGGCGCCGCTTCTTAAAGTTTCAATACAACAACAAAAACAAAAATAATAGCAATAATGAACGGAAAAGTAAAGTTCTCTGTAAAATGTTTGAGATGAATCTGCATGGATTAATTATTAAAATACACAATTTATTTTTATTTCTTCTTGATTTTTTTTTTGTTATCGATAATAATGGTTAAAGATGGTAATAAAGAAATTAATAAAATATGGATATCTCTGCGAAATAGTAGAAATGGCACTAAAAACTAATTCTATACAAGAAAAAGGAAATGAAATGATTTAATAAATGTATACAGTAATAATAAAATGTAACAACAACTGGAGACTTTGTCTCCATTAAAAAGAAAGAAAAAAGAAATATTCAAAGGAAAATAATTATGTCTCTAAATTTATATATAAATGTGTGTGTGTGTGTGTGTAAAACTAAGTTACTAATACTTAAAAAAAAAATATTTATTTATATAGGGAAAATTGTTGCTCAAAATGTACACTTTCTTGAGAACGAAAACATAATAAGAATGTTTGTAAATTAAGAATCAAGTGAATAATATTAATAATTCGACCCTATATGATATAAATATACTTCTTTTTTCCATTACTTTATTCCTCGTGTTCCTTTAATCAATTACTTCCGCTCCTTCGCGTACTCACAGTAATCAATTAATTAATCAATATTGCACAGCAATTAATAAACGCTCTTCATATTATTATATTCTTTTTTTGTTTTGTATCCACTTTCCGCACTCTACACATCCTTTCTTCTTTATATTACAAATAAAATTAACTACTACAATCATCATATAGGAAAGTTTTACATAATTGTGATAAGGCTATGAAAAAGGCTATGTTAGAATGAACTAACATTGGTGTTTGAAACATTATAGTCATCTTCTTTCATAATAATAATAATAATATATAATATATATTTAAATATATATATTGTATATATAATATCTACACATTGGAAATTACTCTAAACAAAAACAGAAAAATATGTAAAAAATAATAATAATTCATTCTAATAAAGCTTAAAATATAATAATTATAATATATATGATATTTGTCTGTATATAGAAATTAAGAGAGAAACAAAAATGATTCAAGATTAAAAAAAAAACAAAAACAAAAAGAAGAAAAGAAAAATAAATTAACTAAACACAAAAGCTATTTACAATATATATATAATAATTACGTTCTCTTTCTCCTCTTTTTTTGTTTGTTTGTTTTTTTTTCGTTTAACATCGCTCGTCTTTTTTCTTGCGTTTTGTTTTTTCCTTTTACTCTTATTAACTTAAATATTATCATTTTTCTTTGTTTAAATTTTTGGTCCCTACCCTAAGCCACGGTTCCCGCATATCCTCCTCCTCCTCATCATCATCAAACACCCTCTTGTTATTTCTTCATTCCATCTACATATTACATTTCCGTCTCCTCCCATGGGGAACACTAAAATATTTATATGTATATAATAATATAAATCTATTATATTTTCATCCAGTATAAAATTATCAATAAATTGGAATGTTTCATTATTATTATAATTTTGAAAGTTCTATCTTCTCGGTCTTCTGTCTCCTCTTCTTCGGGCTTCTCCGTCGTACTAATAAAGTAATAAATGGCACTATGAACAGTCTCATTTCACATGAAAATAATTGTTCTTCGCGTTGCTGTACATTTTGCGTCGAATCATCATCATCTTTTATAATCCTTAATTCATCCACTTCTTGCAGTTGGGAGCTCCGCACATGCACGATATCTTGTGCTGGTCATCCTCAATATCAAATTTGTAATCGTACGATAACTGAAAAATACACAATATTTAAGCAATGCAATTCTATGTATACACACACACTCATTCTCATTAATGGCATAAGTAGAAACGATTCTTTCTCACCTCTTCGCCTCTTTGAATACGTCTCTTTGCGAAAATTATGATTCTCAAATCTCTGTCGACTTCGACGATTTCGGCCACGCAATTCGGATTGCAGGAATGATTGATATACCTGGCAAGGCCTCCACACAAAGTTGCGTCGACCACACGTTCCTCATCTAATCGAAACATGTAAATTCCCCGATTCTAAACAAAAAGACACCAAAATTAAATTCATAACTAAACTAAAGTACCAATAACTACCACCTCCAAGTAATATCAGGATTTTAGGGACAGGAGTCAGGAATTGCAATTCATCCATTCAATATTGATCTACTACATTCTACTAGATTGCATCTACTATATTGAAATTCTTGATGAAATGAGATGTAATCTTCTATATGTCTGTAATACTTTATAACGGGATATAATATAGTGAACTTCGTTTAATAATAGGATGTTATCAAAATTGGGCTCAATAGTTATGAAAGTAGAACGATCGATAATTAAGGTGTAACTGATTTTATAGGATAATCATGTATTTGTTTACCTTTGCTTCGTATTTCTTCTCCCTGGTTTCGGCCAATTCAGTCCTGATAATCTCTCCGATATACTCGATGACCATGGTATGCTTCTCCAAATCCCTAGCCGCGCATAATCCCAAACCCTGGATTTTAGATCTGCGCCACAAATAATGGTATCAATGAATAACACATTCACACACACACACATATATTGGTAACTTTAAAGAACCTCACCTCGCTAGGAAAACATTGTTCCTCCATTCCTGCTTCATCTTCTTATACTGCGAGCTCTTGGAGTGTACGAACTGTTTGCTGTAGGGACATGCAGCTTCGCCCGATGGTGCTGCATTGTTGGCGGGCGCAAACACGGGACGGGCGGAGCTGCCGGTCCGCTGGGTGTGCGGCCGCTTCCAGTGTAGCTGGTTCTTCAGTTTGGGTTCCGTCCTGGCAGCCCCGCTCGGGTTGATGGCCAGAGGCAGTTCCAGCAACGGATTCCGTCCGTACTTGAACTTGTAGTCTGCCAATGTTTCGATTCCCGGCAAACTCTCCAGCACTCGCACCACCGCCGGCTCCGTCAGACCGAACAGATCCTCGCCAGAAACGAACTGCGGGAAAATTTGCACGCATTGATTTTCCCGGCGCATGGTGGCTAAAGGTTCAAGGACTTTCATCCAGACCAGCTTGCAGCTGACGTCGCGCAGCTCCAAATCGTCCTCCTCCGACTCCTGGACGACTATCCGAAACTCGGGCCGTCCGCCCACCTCGTGGATGGAACAAACGTACCGGCACCTCTTGTTTAGCCGCCTCATGCTCCAATAGAAACGGATGATCTTGTAGCCGATGGGGTAGATATAATTGGAAGTATGGAAATTGGTCAACTGATGTGGCAGAAGTTGCCCCACGTTCAAGAATATGAGCGATCCCACCCTAAGAAGATTATTCTGATCCGAGTGATGCATGACAGCAGCCACCTGTCTGTTCTCATCTCGATCCACGTAAACCCTTCTGCTCACTGATAACGTTGTAAGCTCATTATCCTTCTCTCCTTTCTGTATGTGGCTACTGCAAAAAGTGGTCTTATTCTTGTAGAAAACGCATTTATCCTTGACGGCGCACGGTAAATGATAGATATTAGAGCAGCGCGTCTTGAAGCAACGAATCGTAGCTCCAGATTTGTTGCATAGGGCACAAGTGGACACCAAACTTTGCTGGATGGCGTTAGACAGATTCATCAGAGCACCGTTCACCGTCTCGTAAACTCCATCTGACCATAGGGCGCAGTTCAAATGCACCCACTTATCTACATCGATGTTCAAAAGTCTTGCAGGTCCATCCGCAACACTATCACTTATGTTATGACAGAACATGCATTTCCTCGTATCATCCGGAATCTTCGATGGCAATACCGTTACTCGTAGCCTGTACATCAACTCCATGATCTCTTTATCGCTTAATTTCTTGTATTTGTTAGGAGGTTGCAGACAGCCCTGAGCATACGCCTTATACTTGATGTTTCGCCACTTCGTGGACGTTTCTTGTTTCACCTCATCCACCTGCATTTTCTCGCTTTTGATGCAACTCTTCAGGTCGTAATCGACGTCCATCTTTTCCATTTCTATTCGTCTGACTTCCTCAACTAACGAAGTAGGTCTCTCAATCGCTGCTTTCTGGATGTCATCCATCTTGTCCTTTTGGCACAGGTGATCTATAATTTCTGCCGCCTTGTCCTGCGATATGGAAGGGCTTCTATGCATCAGCGCAAATTGCATGTAGCACGCTGAACTGCAGAAAAATAATTCGTCGCCATCGTTGAGCAACTCCAAATCCTTGGATAGGAAGGGCAGCTCTGATACCTTTTTCCTAATCATGTTGTTTAATATCACTACATCGCAATGTCGGCAGAATTTCGCGGCGCCGTTCAAAATACTTTGGATGTCGATAGGTGCTAAAATTACGAAAAATATAATAATTATTTACTCTCCAAAATAAATCTTAGTACTTATTGAAGTATAAAAAATATAAGTAATTAAAATAAATACGTACCACCTTCCTTTCCATCCTTGCCTTTGGTTCTGTATAGTCCCAGCTTCTGGCTAGGTGGAGTGCTAGTTCTTTCGACAATCTGGTAGCTGGTGGGCGCTGGTATATGTAATATGTTGGCTAAATCTCTCAGAACTCCCATTATATCTTCAGCCGCCGAAGATGTCAGAGTCAAAGTCACAGTAACATTGCCTGAGTCCTTAAGTGGTGTTCCAGGAGCTGATGTGAATTTTGGCTTCTGATTGACTTGCTCTTTGCAGATATTCTCCTTATCCTAAACAAAAAGACAATTAATATGACAAATAATTGTACATACTATTTAAGAGACTTACCATCATCATATCAGCGTAATCCTTTAGGTAAGGACCTGTCGGCTGCAGCCTGATCGGAATAGGAGCAATAAGAGGAACAACCGGTGACAGTCTCATGTTGGCGCAAATCTCTTCGTCGTCCTCGTCTTCGTCAATAAGTTTCAATCCAGGGAATTTCACTGGAGGTTCGAACATGTCGCACTCCAATGAGGAACTACTCAAGATCGAATCTGGAGAGTCCTCCCTACAGAATAGATCGTACTTCTTATCCTCGTCAGTATCAAAACGGATAAGCGGAAATTCTTGATCGTAAAATCCACGTTGTGTGGATGCTGGAGGTTTTTCAGGTAACGGTTCCTCATCACCGTATGGCTTCGAACTATAAAAGTCTGCAAAACCTGGAACCACGGCATTTCCGTAGGTACCAACTAGATCTCCGCAACGAGAATCGTATTCTCTTACTCCCAATTTTGTAGTATCCCCGGACCCAAAAATAGGAACCACTGCGAAATTCTTGTTTAAAATCGGTTCGGAAACAACCATCGAGGGCAAAGTTCGCAGCTGTCCCAATACGCTTTCAATATAGGAATCATAATCCTCGTCTAGCTTAGAACTCTTACGAGATCTTTTCTTCGGTTGCCCAGGCACTTCCTTGTTAACATTTTGATTTTGTCTTCTGCTCTTTTGGTAAGCGCGTCGCTTCAACTTCTTCATTTCTTCCTTTTCCATCATCTTATCGTTGTGCTCCATAAAGTCCATTTCTTCTTTCATTTGCGTTTCGGATTTACTGTGATCTGATATTTCCGAGTGCTGAGAAGATTCATCAACAAATTCCTTTTTCACCTCTTGCGCCGTTAATACCGGACTTTGCTGCGGCATATGTTCTTTCTTTATAATCAAGGGAGGCGTCTGCAAGCTAGAATCTTGACTGCAGGAAGATCGAGGTGTCCCTGGAGAGAGCAAATCGTCGCGACTTGGTGTACGACTTGGAGGTAAACCTTTCTTAACATCTATATGCAATTGCTGTTGTTGTTGATGCTGCAACTGCTGTTGTTGATGCTGCTGTTGTTGTTGATGCTGCTGTTGTTGTTGATGCTGCTGTTGTTGTTGATGCTGCAACTGCTGTTGTTGTTGCTGCTGCTGTTGTTGTTGTTGCAGTTGATGCTGTTCTTGTTGCATCTGCTGCCGCAGTTGTTGTTGATTAATGATACTGGAGTGTTGGATGGGTTTAGAAACAAAACTAGTTTCACGGCTCATCAAGGGTTGTCGTTGAACAATTTTGGTGGTCTGAGTACTTGAAGTAATTATGGAGTCGTTTTGAAGAATTGGTGGAAGCAAAGACGTTGGTGTCGGAGGTACTGGTGTGGCTAACTGAGCCTCAAGATTAGGTACTATTGGTAGGCTGGGCGCCGTTTGCGTAGGTGTTGCAACGTTACTACTACTCGATGATTGCGAAGTCGCACAAGCCGTATTCTGTAACAATTGCTTTAAGAGAACGTTTTGAGACTCCTCCATCCTATTCGAAGGTTGTGCCATTGTGTACTTGGGTGGTTCCTGCTTGATAGCAGAAGATGTTGTTATAGCATTCTCCGCAGATGTAGACATCATTGTCTCTTGCGATTCCGTTTTAACTTCTATTTCTTTCTTATCTTCTTCAGTTATTTTAGTTGGTGGTGTTCTTTGCGTCATCGGAGATTTAGTTAGGTGTGTATGTAACAGATTCGTTGGATTTCCTCTTGTAAACTTGCCCAACTGATGTGTCAAAGAAGACATCTTATACCCCGTTTGACTCGTTAATGGTGACATCACGTTAGGGTGAGCATGAGCCAACGATGTAAGAGACGGTTTTGTGATGGAAATGGCTGATCCCAAAATGCTGGCAGTAGTTATAGTGCCAGGCGATGTTTGCGGGGTCGTCGCTGCCGGATGCGATTGCAACATAGCGTTCAAACTGAGCGAAGGTTTTCTCTGAACTTGATGATGTGTTGTTGTAGTAGATGTCACCTGCGAAGAAGCCATAGTATTCGTAATTTTTACTTGGAATCTGTTCATCTGAGTGGTAGTCGCTTGGGTTGGAGCAGCAACGGTCGTCACCGGTGGAAGTTTCGGATGATCCGGCATTAATTGTATACCAGCTGTAGTCTTTATTGGTAATAAACTTTGCATAGTCGTGATGGCAGTGGTGGATGTCGTGCTTTGAGTGATCGGTGACTGCACTAGTTTCGGTGAATTAACAACAGCTTTTTTAATAATTATGCTGTTGTTTATCTCTGTAGACGTCTTTGGAGTAGAAGTTGCTAAAATAGCAGGCATAACTTTTTCTTTGGTGATGCTTTTAACGATGGTGTCGTTATTAGAGTTCGTGGTTCCAGTTGTTGTTTGGACGCAATTCGTTTCCGACAGTAGAATCCTTAGTTGTTGACTAACATTTGCAATGTTCGTCGTTAACTCGTTGGGTTGTGATAACGGTGATAATTGGGGCGTGACCGCTAAACGATTGGGAGGTGCTAGAGTTGCTGTCGTGGTCGTCGTGTTTACTGTTGTACATATTATCGTTGCCGTTGTCACAGGTTTCGGTTCTGGTTTTAAAATTGGTTCAAACTCTTCCTTAACCTCTTCAGGTTTATTATTCTCCAATACGGCTGCAATTGGCGATGGAGATTCGTCTCGAATATTTTCAATCATGTCCAGTACATCGTCAAACGACTCAAATTCCCTGGAGATACTATTACCGTCTCTCCTGCGATTTTCTAATGCCTGTAAAGCAATATTATCCAACATTTGTTCCTGAGAAGGAGTTGGTGATGGAATAGATATTACCACAGACTTAGTGTCATCGCCAGAATGGCCATCCATGGTATCGATTGATTGAGTTGTGATGAACGGCATTTCGACAGTTCTGGCGATTTGCAATCCTTGGTTTTCTTGAATTATTTGAGCTGTCATTTTGAGTTCAGGAGGATTGTGCATCGGAAGAAGTGAAGAATTACTTTTTGTGATATCATCCACCGATTCTTTTGAATCATCTTTGCAATCGCCTTTAATCAGTTTCTTCAGTTCAATAGGTGATTCAATCTTTTTATCGTCCTCATTGTTAGAGCTATCTGGAGAAACAGAATCATCTTCAAATATTTTCTTTGGAAGACACGTGTCTTGGTGGGCGGTCAACGACAGCGAAGTCGATGGTTTATCAATCACTTTCACGTTAGGTAGTTTGCTAATTGCTCTTGCACTGATTACAGGCACAGTAAAAGTAGAGGGTAGCATTGAAGTCATCTGCGAAGTGCTTGCACTCACTATAGTGATAGCCGGAGACACTGAAGTAACCAGTTTTGGAACGCTGATAATATTGTTGCGACCAGTAGTTTTAAGAGGCAGTATAATTGCACCGCTATTGCTGTGAGTTATTAGTATGTCCTTTTTACCAGTAGTCCCTGGTATATATTTAGGTATCAAAGGTGTAATTAATGAGATCTTAGGAGCGGTAGTCGTTTTCAGGTTTGCAACAGTCTGAATCAGATTTGCCGTTGTCTTCGGCGGAAAGGTGCTGACGACATGCGGAGCTGCATACTTATGGATTTCGCTGATGATCTTGCGCGAGTCTTCATCAATAAGCTCTTCGAAATCCTCCTTCGTAGAGATTTTCTCGTCACTCATCTTCTGATCGAGTAAGACCAGGGAACGACTTTCATAATGCTCCTCCTCTTCGGTGGTATCGGCACTCAAGTCGTCTGGTTCCGGAGATTCCATAGCCAACAAAGTATCCGCAGATAAGCCTTGTACAATATTAAGAGTCAATCCATCGCTCGTCACTTTCTTAGTTTTGCCTTGCATAATTAGCTCTTCCTCGCTGGTTGTTGGGCTATGAATCGCCACGTCTACTATGTGCTTTGTTATATGTTGCGCATATTGCACCTCATCGTCATCTTCATCTTTATCAGAGTACTGTGTGGTTCCGGCAATATCAAATAGCAGAAAATCATTCGATATTTGCTCCGATTCTAATGGACTGGATAGACTGTCCGTCAAATCGCTTTGAGTGAAAGTCTGTATCACTGTAATATCATCGCCGTCTTGCTGTTGCGCTACTGAATTTAATGATACCTCTGTAGAGACTACTGCCGAATCATTATCATCGTCGTAATCCATAATTTCATCCACTTGCATTTGTTTACCTTGATTAGATTCTACAACAATTACCTGTAATGATCAAAAACATAAATTAGAAAACATATATATTATGTTTAACTAAAGTAACTTATATTCTTACTGACTTTCATTAGTTTACTAATTGATAATCGGTTATAATATATACCTGTTCTTTCGGTTCCATTTCTTGCGGGATTTTCTTTCCTATGGTTTTCTGAATTAGACGACTAGTCGAGGCCATCGGAGACGGTGTTCCAGATGGAGACGAAGAACTATCATCCAATTCGTTATAATCCGAGCTAACTAGGGAACTGATCCGATTTACACACATGGATATCGCCGTTTTAGCTGGAGATTTTTTCTTCAGTATGGACACCTTGCTCAGATGAGATTCCTTTTTAATTTTCGGTTGCGGCTGGGGCTGCTGTTCAGTGTTTGCCAATTTGTCGTCTTTATGTTCGGGCATGCGTTTAGCACCGCGACCATACGAGCCCCAAATCGGAGAACCACCGCGCAACCCCATCTTGACGTAGCCAAACCTTCCGAATCCCGGAGGATAAGGAATAGGATTGTTCGGATTGTGTGGATTTCCACCACCGGTCTGATCGTTGTCTTGCACAATGTTTTGCAGTTCCGTTGATGTGTTGTATAGTGTTCTTGGATTTTCAACGCTCGTCGGACGATCAGGCATGGCAGGGCTGCTACTCGAACTCGGAGGTCGTCTGATCTGCATGGGCGATTGATTTGAACCGACCATGGGACTTCTCGGCATAGGTGATGGTGGCTGATGTATCATTGGACTACTCGGAGGTTGATGCGACTGATGTATTGCAGGGCTTCGGGGCATTGGCGATGTAGGTGTGAAATTGACCATCGGAGATGGAGGTTGGCTATGCATAGAATGAGGAGACATCATCTGTTGCTGCTGATTGATTAGCGGACTCTGTGGCGGCATTGGTGAGTTCGGTGGATGATTTTGTTGCTGGTTTTGCTGCTGTTGCAACCTCTGTTGTGCCTGAAGATGAGCCAACTGTTGTTGCTTCGCCAATTGTTGCTGCTGATGCACCATTAATTGGTGTTGTTGAGCTGTCAAGGGTTGAGGTTGATTAGCGGCTCCCTGTTGTTGCGCTTGGTTCTGTTGTTGTCTCAGAATAAATTGTCTTTGATGGATCAACTGCATAGTCCTCTGGGAATTGGATAGTCCCTCGTTACTATCTACGACTTGCTGAATGAAAGGCTGCTGGTGTTGCAAATGCCTTTGAAGATTTGGCTGAGGTGGTGGACTGTTCAACGGCGATGGCGTGCCTGGCTTTTGCTGGAAGTTCGGACTGGGCGATTGCAGCCGCGTCCTCTCCAGTGGTGGTCGCGCAAACCGTGCCTGCGGTGTACCTGGCCTAAGATCTCCCGAATATCCGATCGGACTAGTTACAACCCTTCGATGTTGAGGAGAAGTCATCCGCATTGGCGGTGGTAAATGCATCGAAGGAGATTGCACTGGTCCAGGACTACCTTCATTTTGGGAATGAGGTGTTCCGATACGCGGCGATGGTTGCATGGGTGACATCACTTGGTTAATGGGATTATTTGGACTTTGCAGAACGCTGGAGACGGATCCAGGACCTGGTGAATGAGAAACGGATGGCGCCGGGCTGTGCATCGGCGAACTATGCTGCATCATAGGCGATGCAGATGGTGACATCATCGGAGATTGAGGAGGATGGATCGGTGAAGATGCAGGTGGCCCCAGTGGAGATTGGTGGCCAAGCATTTGATTGCCCTGCTTGGCTTGTTGTTTGTTCCGATAATCCTTCATATAGACCAGTAGAAGTAATACACGATTAGATATATAATTATTATGACTTAATGCGAAAATAAAAGTGCTTGAAACCAAAATAGATAAAATTTATAAAATATATTATATTTCTTTTGGACTCTGGATAATATATTTCAGTCTTAACACAACATTTACATAACTCGAATTAAATAAATTAAATCACCGACATATAATTATCAAGAATTTTAAAGGAAACATACTGCGCGATAAGAAAATATGTTACCACAAACTAAGATATATTCATGTCCAACACTTTTGAAGCAAATAAGATTTAATAATTACCTGTATTAGCATCCCGTGCTGACGGCTCTGTTTACGACTAGTTTCAAGATGCTTCTGTAAAATATTGTTTTCAGTCTGTATTTTCTGCAATTCGATCGCATCGGCCTCCCCGAGTTGATTGCCGGACTTCCTGAGCTGTCTCTGCTTACTGTTAAGCGACTGAAATTCAAAATTTGTTTAAAATCAAGTTTATATTTATTATTTTATATTCGCTTACTTTTCTGATTTTCCTTAATTTTTGTACTTCGGTCTCGTAATATTTTAATTGTTCAGTCAGTACGTTGTTTTGATGATTCAACCATTGCTCGTAAGCTACTTGAATCTGTTTATCCTGTTCAGTCACAATTTGGTCAGGCGGTAGTTGAGGCGCAGGAAGTAACTTCGCGTTGAACGGAGGGATTCTAGGCTCCTGCGGCTGGGGCTGAGGCGTAGGCACCGACTGTGGCCTGGGACTCTGCTGCTGCCATTGTTGAACCATCTGTGGAGGAGGTCCAGAAGGTGCCGGCTGTTGCACGAAGGTCGTCCTTTGAGGTGGTAAAATACCTTGAGCTAAAGAAAAATTGATTCGTTTAAGATGAGCTTTCCAATAATAATGAAGAAAAAAAAAACATGAAGAAACATTAATTACCAGGTACACCTTGATTAAGACTTTGGCTCAAAAGAGGACCTGCGTTGGAAATCAAATCCGTTTTAAGCAGCCTTTCGAAGTCGTGTTCAGAGAGCATACTAGAAGTACTCGCGTTTGTTGGTACATCTGAACTGCTGCTTGACACCTGCGTCTGCATTTGCTTTTCTTGTTCCCTTTTCTCTTGTTCCAAGAGTTCTTCGAGCAGTAACGGCTGTTCCTTGAAAAATAAAGTAAAACACATATTACAAGGAACGTGTTGGTCAATCGATTTCGAATCGAACTCCAATTAACAACCCAAACTTTCAGCTACCATAAATGTAAGTGCAAAGCAAAAACCAAGTATAAAAATAAATAATAAATAATGTCATGTAAGAGTGCAGAATGAAGAAAAAATGGAAAAGACACTCTTCGTCAGTTACACTTTACTAATAAATAATATGTATAGAATAATTAAGTAAAAATAAAATGGGAAATAAATAAATCTCACCTCCAAGAGCAAGGGGGTTGGTCTCCGATGCACATGGGGGAGCGGACGCATGAGTCCAGGTGAGGGCAGACGCTGCTGCAGTCCCATCTACCACACACATGCAAGCAACACCAGACACCTCAACCACTGTTAGTTATTATACTACCGTATGTTCGCCTCTCACCATCATTTTACTTTAGCTCGCCCATCATTTCTTATTCTCTTGATATTCTTTTATCAGTACTCAAATAATCAAACAATCCAAATAACAACAATAACAACACAGATGTGGCAAGTTAACAAATCAAATCTACTAAATTGTTTTCTCAATTTCAATTTTAAAATAACCAATTAATCAATCGAGTCTTCAAAAATCAATCTAAATTTAATATAATAACAATGTTATGTTATGGAAAATTCATATTTAGTTCATTATGATTAACTTTATATAGAGATCTATCCAAGTTTATGCGAGTTTCATATTATTTAATTTAATTATTACATAATAGAATTGACTCTTTGATTGAAAAGAGAAACAAAGAAAATAAATTAAATCAAAGAAATAATAATTAAATAAGAGGCCAAACCATAACATATAATTTAATTCATAAACATGCTCAATCCACTGAAAGATGTGTGCGTGACTTACCGTTTGATTGGTGGAGCCTGGATAAGGAGGCGGCGGTCTCGAGTATGGTGGCGGTGGCGGAGGAGGTCCGACAACGGGAAGGCGTTGCTGATGTAAAATACCAGGTGCTGCCATCCTAGGTACATTCTGAGGTATATTACCTAAACGCATCTGGGTCACTTTTTGATTTTGAGGTACTGCAAATAATTAGGATTAGAATTGTATTTACAAATGCATAAGTTACACTGAGTTACTTTGCAACAATTTCTGGTGGTAGTTGGGTGAGAATGTTAAAGAAATATTGTTATTTGCTGTGACCGTTCCGATAATACCTTCAGTCGACATAAGTTTTTTGCCTGGTAACATGGGTCTTCCCATTGCAGCAGCCTGTTGAACCTTTTAAAAAAAAATGAAATTGATATTAACATTTATAAAGTATATATAATGTAATTATATTACGTGTTGCAGCATTTGTTGGTGTACCTGCTGTTGCGGAATCATTTGACTCGGCACAGCTTGTTGATGGTTTTGGACTGACTGAGATTGCTGCTGCTGCAACTGCTGATGTTGCACTGCTTGTGTCTGTGATACAACCAGAGGTGGAGGATGTAAATTCGGTTGGGATAAGGGTTGCTGTTGCTGGGGTAACGACACCTTTTGCTCTTGGACTTGTGGATTGTGTACCACCATTTGTTGTTTGGCCACCAAGCTGAAGATAGGAAATTCTATGAATATTGTCAATTAACAATAATAGGATATAATTACTTTTTGTCCTTGTCGTCATCCTTTTCGGGTTCTGGCTCTACAAGATCTAAACTATCTAAAATGTTTGTTTTCTCTCCACCGGTTAAAGCATCTAACTCGGGATCGGCATACTCCAATATATTGAAATCAGATCCCATTTCCGCTAGCAGTTCATCCTCGTCATCTGCGAATCCGCCTAGAATATCTCCTACACCTTGCAACTCGACCATAGAACCTTCTTGCTCCAATTTCTCTAGTTCGGCAGTAACGTTATCTGGGATTTCCTGTTCACCTGTATCTTGAGCGGTCGGTGTAACTGGCGCCTGTTGCTGCTGAAGAGCTTGTTGCATTAAAGGACGTTGCTGCTGTTGCGCTCCCAAAGGCATTCTTGGTCCGCCCTGCATATCAGTTGACCTCTGTTGAAATGGAACATTTGCTCTTTGAAGGATTTGCTCGATTTCCGCAGACGACTGCCTTATAGACTGCTGCTGTTGTTGTTGCTGCTGTTGTTGCAGTGATGGTTGTTGCTGCTGCTGCGGAACAAATAATCTTGTTTGTTGCTGCAATTGAGCTTGTATGTTAGTCGGTAGAGCGCCTCTTTGTTGTAAAAATAATCTTGTTCTTGGATCCATGTTTTGCTGCAATCTAGGATCGAGCATTCTCAAACCCATAGGTTGTCTGACCACTGCTGTAGCTGTAGCCGCAGATGCAGGTCGTTGCCTGACTATGCCAGGTGGAAGAGGATGTCTGAATGTAGCATCTCCAGTAGTTGCTGGAACAATTGGATGCTGTTGTACTTGTTGCTGCTGCTGTGGTTGTTGCTGTTCTTGCTGCTCCTGACCACCAGTTTCATTCGGAGGCCACACCCGTTGTTGACCCTTTCCAGGTAAAATTTGCTCGTCTAATTTATTGAATTGCAACAAATTCCGTAGCTGGTGCGAAACTTCGATTCCATCTGGTCTTTGCTGATATCCTTGCAATGAAGAGGATCTCGTCAATGGGACCATCGAAGGTCTCGGCGTGGAAGGCTGTTGAGCGTACGGATCTTGTTGTTGCAGCGTCCTCTGCACGTTCGGATGTGCTTGCTGTGAAAACTGCGAGTTATCAATGGTGTGTGGTAACTGCGGTGCTTCTAGATTAGAAGCTTGTGCCTGCTGCAATTGTTCTTGCAGAAACTGAGGTGGATTTCCTTCCGATAATTGCCTTTGCACCCGGACCATTGCTGGACAAGAAAATAATTTTAGTTTACAAAATTCAGATTACGTCACAAGCAATTGCTACTTACTGCCAGTAACTTGTGACCTGTGATCCTGAATAACATTCAACTGCTGTTGCGATTGCTGGTGTCTTAAGGCTTGCAACTGCTTCCACTGTCGTTCATTTTCTGCCTCGCGCGCCGTCTTTTGCTGCTGAGCAATTTTCTCTTGATCCTAATTATTAAGATTACATATATGATTATTAAGCTGAGAAACATACTTAAAATAAACAAGTTTTCTTTTCACAATAAGAAAGAAAATTGTTTACAGAAAATAAAAATCAAACAAAATGTGTGCAGAGAAAATTCAATATAAAAAATAAATATAAGTGATGAAATAAAGAAAAGAATAACCTCAATATTTGTTTATATATGTATATGTAATTGGAGGGTATTGTATAATTCACGGATAAACATATAACATGCTTTTAATTACTTTCAACTTGTTTAAAGTACTATTTGTTTTGTTTGGTTAAGAGACAATGTTAACAAAATATTGAAATAATTTTCTTCTTTGATTTCATCGCCTGCTGTTGAAGTTTTAGCACAAATTTTGTTAAAAAAAAAATTAGTCAACTAAAGAAAACCCAACAGTACAAAATAAGGATTAAACGATTCGTACTATGTAGATAATTAGTAATAAAACGAAGCCGTAATGAACTTATTAGGAGTATACGTCTGTACTAAAAGAAGTAAATAATAGGAAAAAGCAGAACATGCACCAACAAATCTCATACCAAAAAATTAATCTACGGAAAGTTTAGTAAATACCAACACCGGATTGTTTCGTTCTAATCAAATCAATTATCTGGAGAGAAATAAATCAGAACTGTTCCGTCCTGCGTGTTATAATCTTTTTTTTTTGGTAGTTGTTAAATAAGTTAGTGGAACTAATGAAACAGAATAGCTCTGATACCTTCTTTCAAAACGGGACTTGTTCAGGAGTAGGAATGGATAACGATTGGAGTTTCGTTTGAATATTTTTTTGTGGTAACTTGGTGGAATTATATAAAGAATAAAAAAACTCGAGACATGCCGCAAAAATTTTCAAACAATACAAAAATCAAAAAGAAAAGAAAAACATCGATCAAACCAAATAAATTTAACACAACACGCGACTGATTGAATCTGAATCATCAATTTAAATTTAATATTTCTGGAGATGAAATTTCGGATTTTGAAATATTCAAATAAATTAAAGTAAAAATTAAAACAACAAGAAGCTGGAATATAAATGACATTCCAACAGTCAGAGAATCTCACCGGTGACTCGCAGGTTTCCTGACAGAGGGAGGGAAGAGTACGCATGATCTCAGATGGGGTTAGCACGCGGATCTGGTGGTCGGCCGCGTTCGTTAGGGTCAGAACGTGGTGTCGGGGTGCTGGTGGTGGTGGCGGTGGAGGAGTGTTGTCGGTGTAAAGGGGATTGACGGTGACGTTGGGGGCGGGGCCGTGACAGGGATCGCCCGGCCCCACGATTGGCCCGTGCACAGTGAACTGGTGTTGTGTCATAGGGGACGGGGTCGAGGGGGCGGGCGACGGAGACGATGAAGACGACGACGACGATGATGATGCAATGATGATGGGAAGGGAGGCGGTTGTTTTTGATGGCAGCGGGTGTGGAGGTGGTACAGAGCTAATAGTAGTGGTTGTTAGTGGCCGTGACTGTTGGGTGGTGGTGGTGCACACCTCTGAAACTGGCTGGGGTTGAACACTTTGTTGGACTGGACTGGGCACCGCCGGTTTGCTCACGGTACTGTGCGAACTGGCACTACTCTCCTTGTTGATCTGTGGCCGGGGAACAAACAACACATACATACATACTTGAAGCATATAGAGGCAATAGGGCAAACAGGGTTCGCGCGGGTTTTTGGCTTTATAAGAGAAATAATAAAACATCTGCAACATCTATAGATATAAACCAGTAGGTGGTAGCAATAGTGGTTGGTAGTAGACACACAGAGTATATTGCGATGCACAGGGGGTTGTTCTTGTTAGTAACGACCCACCGCACCAATACACAAAAGCTGTCTAAATCAATAAAAAATAATACACCGTGTACGTCTTTGCCTTTCTGGCTAATCTCATATGCGCATTTCTCTTCAACTAAACAATTGCATGATACTTTACTATCACATTGATGCCAGATAAAATGGGACTGCGCAATAATCATCTTATAAAATACTATGTATAACATATTTTATTATTCTAATAACACTCTTATTTTTAACCCTCCTTCCATAGACAACAGAAAACACATTATCAATTCCACGTATTTCATTATGTCCATGACTAAGAGACAACCTTAATGTGCAACACACGAATAAATTTGGCGAAGTCAATATAGAACGCAATGGAGAGTATGATAATAATTTCCAAAAATGCTAATGATTATAAAATATTTTGTCTTTATAATTGTCATAACAAATATCAAATTGAATGAACTGACGATTTATATTATTTAAAAAAAAATATGTCTGTGGTTAAAGAGTTAAAAATAAATATAAATTCATGAACAGCAATTGCGGAGACCGAAATAAATATAGTTCAATGTATCTGGCATCAAATGATTCAAGACTAGTGGTAAAACATACCTGTTGCTGCTTCTTCATGCGCAGAGCGGATCTGTTATCCTTGGCCTGTTGTAGGTAAGGTGCTTTCTGTTCGGTGGTAAGAGTCCTCCACTTCTTAATAATTTGCTTATATCGATCGCTCCAACCTGGATACTCCGTCTTCCATTCCGGATGTTTGATATTTGCATAGAGGACCGCTGATATCGTGGCGCCTTGTCCTAAACCTTCGTCCGCCTTCATTTTCTGCGATGACTTCTGGTTATAATTAGAGCTACCAGATGCCGATACATCCATATCACTCTGCTCATTCACATTTACCCACGGCGATGCTGGCTGTTCGGAGAATGCTGGACTGAACTGCGGACTACTGTAAATAGAAAGAAAACAATAAGAAAATGCTTCCTAAATAAAATTGTTTAATAAAATGAGACATACTTGCTGTATTCTGATTGGTAAGGCGATTGAGGAGGGAAGCTAATTGGTGAATTCAGATTGTTCTGAGTGGTCAACGTCGAAGGTCGCACTGGAGGAGGAACCGAGTGTTGTGGTATGGCAGTCTGTGGCATTGTGTTCACAGACGTACTGAAAATACTGTTACTCGGGAAGATGTTGCTCTCCTGAGATTCCTGCGATTCGTCCGTCAGTACAACTTTTAAGAGTTCTTCGTATGGATCGGAAACCAGTAGGTCATTCAATTCATCTTTGGTATCTTTGGTTTTGTTTGAACCGCCTCCGACCAAACTATCGGTAATATCACCATTGTCGGCCAAATTAGAATCTGCAATTGTTTAATATTAAATACCTTAAACTGTTTCTTTTGACAAGTTTTATAAATACCAGCCAATCCCTCTAAACTTTCAGCATTCTTTGTGAGCTCGTCGTCATTTTCGTTCATAAAAGTATTAACTAAATCTGTGTCGAGCAGGTCTCCGGATAAATTTAGAACGTCTTTCAGTGCTGCTTCCGTGTCGCTCTCGTATTCTTCTTTGGGCACAACGACAGCATCTTTCGAACAGCCCGGCTTTTCTAACATGTTTTGTGTGCCACTCGTACTTGGTTCATCAGAAGGTACACTCTTCTCTTGCTTTGCAGTAACAGCCGCAACGGCTCTAATCTCATCCTAAAAATACATATTATAATAAAACCGATAGCTGCAAAAAAAAAATGTAAAAACAAACGTACCTGCGAAAGATGAATCGTTTTTTCCTTGTCTAAGTTGCTCTGTTCATCTTCGCTACTGGACGTCGCTAAATCTTTATGCGAGTCCATCAATTCCTTGCCGAAGAACGCCTCCTGCAGATAGGCAGGGAACGTCTCCGACAGCTTGCTCTTTGGTTTTCTCTTAATGGGTTTTCGTCGGGGCTTGTTATCGCCCGTCTCGGCAATCATCGGTGGACCTAGAGGATCGGATTGGCCTGGCAGCGTGTCGACGTCGTCGTTGTCTTGGCCACGGATGCCGCGCACCCGGACCACAAACCCGCCGATGCCGAGCTTCTGCAGATTTCTCTGCCGCTTCCGGCGCAATATCGTGAGACCACTTTCAGTAGTGAATATCGTGAAACCCTCCGGCGGAGGCCCATCCTCTTTGGTCCACGTCATTCCCTCTTTGTAGAGCTCCTGCGGCTCATCTTTAACATCAACCAATTCCAATTTAGCATCTTCTAATGAGTTATCCACTAAAACATCGCCTTTAGCATATGGCACGACACTGAGATTAATTGAATTATCTTTACCTGAAGCGCTGCCGGCGATCACAGACTCGATGGTGGCCATGATACCAGCCTCCTTGTCGTGAACGGTGGGTAGCTTTTTCCTTTTCTTCCTGGGAATGTTCTGTTCGGAGCTTAAAGATTTTATTAGGTTGTGTCCGGATTCGCTGAGGAAGACACCATCCAAGTAATAGTGCGTGTTGGATTTCATGTCCGGACTCTTGGTGGGTGTTGGAGGTTTTGCAGCGTGAACTCGCGATTGCAAATGAGGTGGCAAAGTATCCCTAGGTCTGCAGAGGACGCAATTATAACCGTATTCAGCACATTTTTCAGCATCGGCTTCCGTTTTTATCGAATCACATGCACCGTGGAGCCATCGTTCACATTGCACGCACTGAATTATCAGATCACCTTCGCTATATGGTTCTATGCAACTGGCGCATGTTATATGAGAAGCGCATGGTCCGCACTCCGAAAAACTGTTCATCCAGTTGCAATTGAACCCGGGATCTTTAGCTCCACAAGATTGGCAAATCGCACACCATTTGCACTTCCAGTTCCCTTGAGGCACGTAATGTAAAGGCGGATCCATGCAGTAGATATGAAAAGATATATCACAATCATCGCACAACAATAATCGACTTTCATCGTCCCTTAAACCGCAGCCTTCGCAGACCGTGCAATCCAAACACCGCCAACCCTTCTGTAGAATAACTTTGGTCACTTTCACATTTACGCAATAGGGGTGGTAACATTGACCGCACTGTACACAAGCAATCAAACATCCCTCCTGGTCCGTTCCGATAGAGCCACACATCACACAAATGTCTTGAGTTAGCACGTATTTATCCTTCGCAGAACACAACACCAATCTGTTTTCAATTCCTGGTTCTTCGTCCTTGCCACCATCCGAAGTCGGCCTTTGCAAACCCACACCAGGGACACCAAAAATACCTCGCATTTTGTACTTGGATCCCCTCTTCCTGCCAAACTCCGTCATCTTTTGCTTCTTCATGAAACCGACCTTTCCAGGCATCCCTTTACCGATACCCTTTGGTCTACCCTGCATTCCCGGACCATATCCGAATTTCTTTTTTGCTATTTTGCACGCATACGGTTTACCTTTACCCAAACCCATCGATCTAAAACCATCCTCGACACCATAGGGAATATCGAACTCGGAAACATCGTCGTACAAAGATTCCTGTGAGGCCGACAATGAATCCTCATCAATACCTAAATTAAAAATAACATAAATAGAAATTAATCAACATTTTCACACATTTATAATATGGAACTTCATAATTCGATTATAAAACATCCTTTGAAATAATATTCAGACCTAAAATATTTGTTAAATTTGCTAATCAAAATTAATATGGGGACACTCACTGTTTCGTTTTGAGAGCATCTGTCTTCCTTGGTTCTTGCACATTAAACAGACATATTCATAATCAGGTTGAGCCTCCTTTTGCTTGTGGAACGTTAGCAGATCTGCTTCTGGATCGCACGTGCCGTGTACGAATCTTAAAATAAAGAGATTTTAGCAATAAATATTTTCGAATTAAAATGAGTATACTTACTTTCGACAACTGGAACATTGAACCATTTCCCTGTGAGCGTGTGCCCTATAAGCGCGGTGGCATATGGGACAATTGAAACCTTTATTTCGCTGCTGATAACATGAATCACAAACTGTATAGTGGGAATGCCAACGTGACGAGAGACCAGCCCCAGGAGTTCGGGATCCGCAATCACCGCATACTCGACAACACTAAAAAAAAAAGTACATATTACATCATAATATATTCGATTAAATGTATGATGCTGTTAAAACTTACTCTACATTTCCAACCGTACTTTGGGATTGATGTTACCATAGGTCTCTGGCAACTCGCGTGGTATACTTTATCGCACTGCTCGCAGGTCATAAGTTTCGTTTCGTCCCCGGTTATTCGACAGGTCTGGCAGTTTCTGCATTTTCGACATTGCCAACCAGCTCTGACACCAGGTAATTGTGCCAGACCAACGCAAGTGCCATGATAGTGTTCACCGCATATTGAACAGTACATCAGATTAGCAATGTCGCCCATCAGCTTACAGGTATAACAGACAGAACCCTCGCATTGAATCGCTGCTTGGGATAGATGCTGAGAACAGAACATGCTGCAAGATCCCAACTCCTGGAATGCTCCAGAAGCTGTGGCGCAAGGGTAATGGTAAATCTTGCTGCAACCGTCAATTTTGCACGTAACGCTAGCACCGTAATGGTTGCAATGCGAACATTTCCTATTGGAGCTGAGAAGCAAAGCGGGCCCGACGTTATCTAAACCCATGTTTTCTAAAAATTAATAATTCATTTTATTATCTAATGCACTATGGTGTTTATATAATTTGAATTTACCTGTTTTGATGACACTATTAGACCAATAGGCGCAACTTCTGTGCACGTAAAAGTAGCTTGTTGACTCGAAGAGATTTTGGACATCAGGTTCTTCAACAAATCCAATAATGGTCAATTCGTCCACGTACTCGCATGTCATTGATGGATTCCTGCATTTGTTAAAGCTCTTCTGTCTCCGACACGTCACAGGTCCTCGGGGGCTTTTATCACCGATGAGACCATCGGGCATTTGCCCAATTGCTGGTATCGAGGATGGCTGCTGCTGATCGGCTACAACGCGTTTCGGTGTGAAACCTTTCTGACACATCAGACGAAGCATCTCCCCTTGTCCTAACTGACTCCTTTCACCCAAATTACAGAATCCGCACACTTTACCGGGCCTATAATTATAAAAGAAAAAATAACAAAATAAATTATAGTTACACAAACAGAAAAAGAGAGTCGTACCAAGCCTCTGGGGCGTAAGGGAGTTCCTCGGGCGTAGGTGGCATCGGTTTCTCTCTTTCAGCCATGAAAAAGCTCCCGGTTTCCGGATCCAGGATCATCTCGTCGCTTGGGGATTGCGTGATCGAAGAGAAATCAAAATCACCTCTGTCGAAGCTCTTCACCCGTTTGGGACCACCTCTCATACCCGGTGGCTTCCAACGCTTCATCCTGATACCCGTACTTTTCCTCTGTACAGGTTTACCTAAGAATAGATACAGAAATTGTTAATTTGTACTAAAACAAACAATAATTTCTTTATAGATATGCGATTATACACGTTTCGTAAACAAAACTGAAGCTGATATGCGAACCGAAGCGAATATGAAACCCCCAGGATTTATTAAGTTACTGATTTTGAAATTCGAGGACCAAAAGGAAAACATTAAACATGCGCCCACCCTCGGATGGATACGTTAGTACTTTATCGGCGGATAAACACATCCTGTTACGCCGTCGATTTGCGGAACACAATTCCTGTTCCGCCGTCGATTCGCGAAACAAGAATCCTGTTAGTAGTCTTGACATGTACCTCCTTCTCTTCTGGGTCTGCCTCTGCCGCGCTTGATGTTCAATGGTTTCCCGGAGAAAATTGGAGGCATCACCGCCTCATCGTTGGTCGGCGGCGAGGATGCTGCGCTGGTGGCGGCAGACGCAGGTCCCGATGAGGGTAGCTGGAGTGGCGAGGGCAAAGGATCATCGATGATGTTATCATCATCGTCATCATCGATGTCCGAAGCCTCGTCCAGATCCATGAGCTCATCGGGATCGAGTCCCGTACTCAATTCGTCCATTGTTATCTATAGAGAGTACCAAGAACAGAGAAAACAAAAAACGTACAAACACACGGAAATCCCAACACTACGAACTGACATCATAATGATACACTACAATTGTATGATTATGTTTATCACATTTTCATAATTAAGAAACACACACTATTGTTTAATCCTATAAATTGTTACAACTAATTTAATTCAATACCATATACTCAGTTACCAATATATAATTTAGTTTTCAATAAGAATCCACAAAAAAAAAACCATCATGATACCATGAAATTATATAGTCAGTCAAATTTTCATGTTTCACTAATTAGATTCATCATTTAATTTATAATTAGTTCACTAAATTCAATTTAGTACAGATTTAATTTAATAAATTATTAACATTTTCAAATATACATTAAAGATGCACTAACATAAATGTTATTCTAGTATTAACAGTATTAATTGATTTAAAAAAACTACTATTAATGTAGAGTTAAAGAACAAATAACTTTACAAATCATTGCTAATAATAATTGGTTTTCCAGTCTTAACTTTAGGTTAGATGGACTACTGGTACTACAAGTGGAAAGCTTAAAGTTCAGATTAATGCAATTCAAAAAAAAAGAGTATTAATAGAATCACTTTATTTGTCAAATAACCCAAAACTGAGTGTCTGGCGACAACACTTGATTTGAATAAATTTAGAACTAAACAGTAATAACAAAATCATGCAATAAAAAGCAACAATATACTGGAATGGTAAATCAAAATAATAATTAGTTGTAAATTAAATAAAGAAAAAATGAATATATGGCTGTATTACATGTTATAACAATTACCATGAGAGCTGTGGCTATGGCTATGAATGATATGCATGCAAATAGAGATAGTGGTTAATGAGGCACCCCCGAACCAAAGCTACTGGGTAACTGGGATTGAATTGCAGTTGAAGGTGGTGAAGCTTGTTGTCTATAGTTGTTTGGTTGAAGAGTAATTGGTGGAGGAAAGGATAAAAAGGAACTTTTGAGAAGGTCCAGTATTGGAGGGTATATTTTTGTGGGGTTAATGTCTTGGGGTGGCTGATGTGGATGGACGGATGAGACGCGGGCACGACGGGTTATTGGATGAGTGGTTGTTTTGGGACGTATCTGCGAGGAGCGTGGACGTGGTGCGAAAGAAGCTGATGGGCATTTTCGGTGATTTAGCTGGCCGAAGGAAATCGAGCGCCATGTCAGTTGTGTATATACATGGAGTGGAGCGCAGAGGCCCGGAGTCCGAGGCGAAAATGGGTGTATATTGTATGAAACAACCTTCCGGTCGTTACTTACGTGGAGGGCCCGACCAGAGACATGGAACACGCCAACAGCAAATCCATCAACTTACGTTAAAAACTATTTTACATATTTTACATTTGTATACATGTTGTAATAACACAAAAAAAATTGTCACTAGCTACTGAAGTGGGAGAAGAAAATCACCTAACCACATAGTGTGTATTTACGCACATAGAGGACGTACATGCAGACCATTACCAACCTATGGTACAACACGCCTCATGTCCACCAACCCATCCAACACTAAAGACCAAATCATTTAACAAGAGAATGTACTTTTCATTTCACCAGAATAAATAATACCTAATCCAAAATCAAAACCAACTCATCCCTTGCAGAACCATCGTTGCACCAAGCAGTAATCTAAGAAAGAACCAAGAGTTTTCAAGATCTTCTGTTGGCAATGAGATCGGCCATGTTTAAAAACGTGTTTGAATACGTAATGATTTAGGCCATTTAATAGATATTTCGAAATATCCTATCCTACATTTTCTGAAAACTCCTTAATACAATTTCTTTTCACCATTACAGCTTGCATAACATATATGTATTGTCAAAATATTAAAGAATTGCTTTCGTGTTAGATAATATAATACAATAAACAATAACAAAACATATGAGAAGATCGTTTATTAATAACAATAACATTAAACAAAGTATCCTGGAGATAATACAACACAATTTACTAATTGTAACAGCATCAACACAACGTATATTTGTTATTAATTCCTCGTGAATGTAACAATATTTATTTATGCTATAAATTTCTTTGAATATGTTTGGGTTTCAGTATAAATTCGATACAGTTCTTAGAAGAAAAACATTAATAAAGTAATGAATGAGTCCTAGATAACATAGGCAACCAACTATATCTATTAGCATTCTATGTAAACTAAGTAAACATAAATTAAAAACAATTGGTTTTAATTTATTTGTCAATTTTATTTAAATAAATCAATTAATTTATAATTGCCTATTAATTACTATTAATAATATTTGTTAATTACGATTTAATAACGTTGCTTTCTGAGATATTTTTAACGAAGCAGTTCCAATTTTATTCATTGTCATTATTTTTTTTATTACAATAGATTATATAAATAATAATCAAATAGAAATTGCAATTTCTTTTATCAATTAACACAATTAGTTCAAATAATGAGTACTATAGATCTGTAAAAACTAGAAATACATGTACGATTACAACATATAAGTCATGAGATTTAACTGCATGTTATCACTTAATTAGAGCCACAATATTGAAAGAACTAACAAGCAACGCTATAATACTTAGAACAAATAATTTCAATAACATCGTTAGTTACTTGCCTTGAGAATTGAAGAAACAAATAGTGTTTGCGATTGCAATTACTAAGAAATCTACATGAATTCCTTATATGTGGTGAATTTAACAATTTTTTTTATATCGAATAAAAAATAACATCTTTGTATTTCCAGTGTATTTTGCATGTTGAATTACGATCTTGAAATACATCAAAATCTGATCTTTCCCATAGCTATCAATTTCGCATGTAAAGGAATATCGAAAACAACATTAATACAGCTTCAATGAACAGGAATCACTTTCAATCGTTACGTATCTTTTTTTTTTAATCCTTACTTACCTCATCTTCAATCCAGAAACCATAATAATAAAAAATAAAAGATTAACACAATAATCGAATTACAAATCAAAGAGGATTTTATATATAGAGATATCTATTTATTTAATAAACATGTATGTATACATAAAGAACAATTGAGAGTTCATAGCAACCACTATACATATATATATATTTATGATAATATTATATATATAGAAATTCTGAGCAAAGTGAATAGTAGTTTTCTGTTTATTTTTATTTCACAGAAACATCACTGTTCACTGATTTTGTTGCTTCCACTTAAGGTTCATCGTCAAACGAAATAAAGAAAGAAACTTATAGTCCTATCATACAATATCCTATGTAGAGTAGTTAAAATAAGAACAAAATTAAAGTGGTTTTACATGAATTATTATATAAACTAGAAAGAAAAGAAAAACAAACGGAATTACCCTAGAATCTACCTTATTCGATAATCAGCCTCAACATATATAATATATTCCATATAAACTATCATTTAAGGATGCATCGTTTTTGTTTTAAATATATCACTTGAAAATAAAATAAGAAAATAATTTAGTCGTCTGCGAAAACGAAAGTGAACAATGATAGAAATATTGAGAAGAAAAAAAACAGCTTTGAAAAATTCCATTCGAGTTAATTATTATGTCTGCGTATTTGTTTTGGCACTGTCCACTACAAAAAAAAACCTAAATTAAAACAGAAATATGCAACGAAAGATGAAAATACGAGCGCCAAAAATTTAAAAAAACAAAATTATCCTCTCGTCTTTTCCGAGTAAATGTATAATAGAATCAAATAATATAATATATTCGTATGTATCACATAACACAAACCAATGTGTTTAAAATAATATAATAATAATTATTATTTTTGTTTTTGTATATATTTATATATATATAAGAACAAAATCGTTTGCATATGATGCAAAATAAATTAATAAATAAAATAATTTGTAAAGCTCGGCGTGTAATCGCGAAATTAGTTGTTATTGTTGTTAGATAATATCATTAGTTCGAGGGAGATATAAGTTCCTTCAATAGCATGAACGTCCTTTCTTTCATTTTTGGTGTATTTTTCTAAATTATGTTCGAACGACGTTTGGTTCTGTGAATGTGTTAATGTATATATCTGGTAAGATGTGTATAGGTAGGTGTGCATGGGAGAACTCCTAAGATCAGTCTTCTAAATGAAAAGAAACAAAGTAATAATAAAATCCTAACAATAAATCTAAAATATCATTCGATCACAACCACTCTTCTCTTCTCCCAACGCGGAAACGAATATCTCACCTCGTGTCCCGTCAAATGATCGACGGTAATAAACAAAAAGAATCGGAAAATGATTTTTGAATAAAAAATCAAAGAAAATCCCTTAAATCGAACAACGCCGCGCGCGTGATGTTTCCGTCAAATTAATTAAGTCCCTAATTAACAAATTTAAACTTCCAATTTTTTTTTGTTTCTCTCCTTGCACTAATGATTGTTCTTTTTATCTTCTATGCTACTGCGCCTCGTCGATGCACACAAAATTAGTTTTGGTCCTGGTTTTATATAGTTGCCGTGATTTCGTTTCTTCCACTCTTTGAGACTTCAGTAACCGTGCAGAGCGTGCTCTTTGAATATGCGCGCATCTCTTCATCTTTATCATCATCCTGTGATTTCCGTGGGTAGAACGATCGAGACGGACTTCCTCGGGCCTCCGCCGCCGCTCCTAGTATTAATGATTGCTTCTTCTTTGTCCGGACTGAACAGCTTCTCCTCGTCCGGAACCTGGACTAGATTTCGATTTACTAAACTGCAAACAACAATAGGAAATCAATTAGTTTCTCTTCTCGTTATAGATCATTGAACAGTTTCTTATGGCGACTACTTTTCAGATTTACTAAAGAGCAGTACATCATCAAGTATCTTATTGTGTGATTCGGTTTAAATTAGTTGCGCTAAATATAGACCACCGTCGCCCGGAGAGATCCTTGGCGGGACGACTCCGCCGCTAATGATGCCTGGCTTGCCTCCTTTTCTCTCCTGGTTTTGTGTGCAGTAAACAAAGCCGCGCCGCGATCATGACCCAGTGAGAGTAGAAAAGTGTGCTAATTAAGTAGGAATAAATAAAGCGAAGTGTCCTTTGGCAGATCTTCGATTTGTAGAACGTTTATATTATGCTTGTTTCCATAGATTCGGATGGCGAAAGCAGATGTTTCGAAAAAAAAAACTCGGGAGGCCTCTGCAGCCAGCATTTTACTGCCCCGGCTTTTTAAATGTCCAATAAATTATATTTTATGGATCGTAAAAAGGAGAACGGATTCGAGTACCAATTCCGACGCACTACCGGAGGATTGTAAACTAGATGTTTACGTTTAGCGAAATGAGGAAATCCCCAATAAACCGAGCTCGAACCTCTCGTACAATGCAATAGCTGTTGGTTCAAAGAGATTAAGAATACTTCAAAAGAAAGGTCTTAGCATACCGGTGAATGCGTGAAGTATCCATAAAATGATCTTTTTCAAAATAATTGAGTAATAGAAACTTGATGAACAATCAAGTTAAGTAATTGCGTGTAAGTTTATATAAAGTTAAAAGTCCATTTAAAAAAAATGTAATTATTGCTATAATAAGAAAATTAATTATTTTGTTGTTGAATAAGTGCAATAGTTGTATCTTTAATTGAATTCATAGAAGTAGTAGTTAAAACCTTTAAAGATAACGATTACATAACGGTACTTAATGAAATTAATCTATGAATAGCCGTTTCTAATGCACTTGGGAAAACTAAATCCAATAGTTAATTAAGCTTTCGGAAACGGCGCTCGCTGTTGTTATTACATCTTGGGACATATAACATGGAAAAACGATTTTCATTAATTCCCATAATGAATATTGTCGCGTACATGCGAAACGCATTAACGATTAATTAACTCCATCCACCGTCGCTTGCCAACTATTGTTTTTTTGTTTTCGTGTGTGTCTGTTACAACTATTTTTGGGCTTTCGAGCGAAGGCTAATTACCTCTCGTAGGCAGTCGGGGGCGGCGTCGGCGTCCTGGAAAGGGGGAAACTCGCCACCTCTCTGCTAACAGCCAAAGACCTGATTGAGCCGAACGTTTGATCTGGCGATAGCTGCGCTACCGATGGTACCATGCCACTGAAACAAGTAAAAAAGAGAGTTATAAAATAAGAACATCAAGAAAGAGGTAAATACATGGGTGTATGAGGATTATTAAGAGGTTGACAACCTTTGATGTTTGGACGGAAATAGATGGATCTTCCGAGAAGGATGCTCAAGAGATTATACGAGATCAAAGGCTTCAAGAATACGCTGCATTGTTTCCAATTCAGTCTACATGTTTATTTCATCAGATGATGATGTATTTTGCATAATTGGAGGACGAACGTATTTTATTATAATATACGTGATTTGCATCAATTTCTGATTGAAATTGTCATGTCATTGAATTACTAATTGCAAATATAATTATAAAATTTTGAAGCAAAAAGAAACAATTAAATCATTTTAAAAACATATAATGAAATATAAAAAAAATTATATATATAGAATTACTAAGTTCATTAAACCTGTTATACTTTTAATCAATAGTTTGTTTCATACATTTTCTATAAGTTTCAATCAAGCAATGGAATTGATAAATAATTATTATAACATTGTTAAATGATAAGAATGAAGCTTCGAGTTTTCTTATTTTAATCTTCATCATCATCACATTGGAGAGCGTTTAAACAGTCGAATAACGAATATGAATTGCGTATATGTAATCATCGAACGGCGTACCTCAAGTATCTTAACCGGGTCCACTACTCCTCCTTGTCTATTTATACAAGAAATTCCTTCGTGTCGCATGATAAATAATCAAAATAATCGGCGTCTAAATTTAAAGAGTCGTGTAGCCGAACGGAATGGCTTACGTCAACAAATTTATGACCATTACATTAGGAACAGCTTTTTACCGTCCGTCTATATGCGTGTGTTTCTCTAATGGTAACAGAAATTACGACTGCTAAACTCTTTCCGCCAGCATATTTTCCCCGAGGTTCGGCAATAAAATCTGCGAATCATCTCAAAAATCGTTTGATGTCTCTCTTCCAAAATAAACGCAAATTATTAGCGGACCAAAGTTTCTTCGGATTCTGCCATCCGACAATGTATCATCATATCTTCCATTACCATCCGTTAGAGTTACGCAACGGCTTATAAATATAGCACAACATAAACAGAGGAGCGGGCGTCCTCACAGGCGATCATAAATAAGCAGAGGGATCAACAGATGTTTATTTTGAAGTCACGTTGGTTAATCAAAAAATTGAAGAAAATGCAGGTAAATCATATTAAAATGCAGTTCTTTGAAATATCTATGTTTGAATAAATGATTCTCTTAGGAAGAATAAACTTGTTTTTTTTGTTCTGTTGCTTCGTATTTAAATTCTAATGTTGGGAAGGTTATGAAACACACGGGAATTCGCAGTTGATGCATGTATGCAAAACGGCTGTATAGTCGACATTAGCCGCGATGAATGCAAATGAAGGAATTATGTTGTGCAGAGGAGGATCGGCATTTCCGCAGACCGCCAACGCGAGAACCGACGTGTCTAATTGCTCAGCAACAAACAACAGCCCCCTCGATCCCTTTTCCAACCAACCCACCGCACTAAACAATCACACCAACTCAATTATCCATTTACGTGTGACGCTCTCAATATTTCATCGACCTCTCCACCTTTCTATTGAATTTATATAAACTAAAAACGTAACGACTCCCTTATGAATAAGCGATTATCCTGCGGCTATTTGCTCTCTCCATTTCCCTTAGAATTCCTCCGAAAATAAGCTGCCGTTAATTATGCACGAGCAAAACGGAGGAAACGTCCGGCGCAAACAATGCGAGAGATTTTTTTTCTTTGTATGTGGAATTGTTGTTTTTGGAAGGTCACAACTGCCAATCTTCAATCTCTTTTGTGCGGCGCGACGCTAAATTTAACGGTAAACCCGGTGCAATCTCTTTAGGTCAGGACATTATACAAACAAAAACCAATAAAGAGAAACGAATAAAAGTGATGTAACGTCGCTATTATCCGTTATTAATTTCTTCGCGTTATACAAGCACAAGATCTCGAGGGATTCACTAATAATAGAGAAATTAGCGAATGTATAAATAGTACACACCCTTTTAATTACATTGATTAAATCTCATAAAAATAGTAACATAATTTCTGACAAAACTCATTTCTCAATTTTTTTAGTTTTACTCATTTTTATTTATTTCTATAAGCAAATTGAACATAAAATAATATGTAGGAAAAATTAGATAAAATTGAGAGTCTTCAGCTAAAAGTGCTCTTGCGTAAGTCGAGTAATTACAAACGTTAATAATATTGGAATTGAACTAATTCAATGATTATAACCGAATTATAGACTTGGCTGATCATCAATCACGAATTATCATTAGAATGCAGCGGATAATTGCAGCTACATTGGGATGGAGCGATAATTAATTGCGTTTTCGAAACTGCAATTATCACTTATTCACGTAACGTAACGTCGAAATTCTATTTCGGGCACGAATTGTAATTGAAATATTTAACGGATGCTTTCGAACGAAAAACAGAAAGTAAAATATTTATCAATGAAAATAGCTGTTTTTTTTCGTAAATCCTCGAAATAAACCACCCCACAAATACACGATTTATGTGTTTGCTAATGCCTCGCGCGATGTTGTGAACAATTACCTAGCTAAAACATATACATTAGCAGGCGCTGCATTTAATGAATTAATCAATGTGGACAGAGAAAAAGCTACTCATGCGGAGATGTAAATAAATTCAGAGAGAAAAAAGTAATTAATACGTAACGCAAGCAACCTGGCACGATCGACTCGAAGGTGATACTACTTAAACTCATATGATTACAAGTCACGTTATTAGTATTATCCATCTCCATCGTTCAAATTCTCACGCGCCGCCCGCTCGATCATTAGCGGATTAACTAGGTGAACTGGCTTAAGCAATAATCTTAATAACTGTAACGTAAAATTAAAAAAAAATAATATAATTAACCGGAGAGCAATTTGAATTCTCCCAGGTTGGTTATTGCCCAAAGGCGGATTAAGTGTATCAAAATTTTAAAAAAATATATGATGGATGGAAATCTTCTGGGAAAAAGCAGCATTTAAATGTTCTCGCAAACGAATGTTATACAACAACTTGACGGACGCTATTATTCGCGCGATTGTTGTCGGTCTATTTCTGTGCTCTCTTCAAGAGCATTTCATAACGAGGCACATTGCGTCACGGTTGATGAGGATTGCGTCATACACGTACATCTATCCGCCCCCGGTGGTCTGTGATCGATGCGGGAGGACGAGGACCGAATTAGATTTTTTTTACCCTCATTAATGATACAATTACGGAGACCTGGAAATAGCCCACAAATTGCTGGTATGATTCTATTCAAATGAACAAAATTAAATACAGAAGCGTTTACGTACACAAAGCGAAATTAAATAATTACGAATAAAAGAAACAATGTTAACAGCATCGATTAAATAAATACTCCAATTGCAAACGTGATTGTCTTTCTGTATTTATTTATTCTCCGTTGTTGCTCCTTTCGTTTTATTACTAATTAAATCAAAATCGATTCGTAATTGCGTTTAAAAGCAATTAAATCTTGTGAATAAACATAAAGAAAGTCTAATTGGATTGAGTGCGGTCCGCGGGGCCGTTGACCTTTGCGTTTACTACAGTCGATGGTAATTGGACATTGGCATGTACGCGACGAAATAAAACTGTAGAAATAAAGTTCAGTTCTTTACACGTAATTTTAAAGTCTATTTTATCCGTCTGTTATTTAAAATGACTTATTTCTTTATTTTTAGTTTTCCCGCCTTATAAACACCATACACGAAAACCAGATGTTCCTCTGGGGATCGATTTTAAATTTAGATCAGAGTCTGTTATTATTGCAACAAGAAGAAAAAATAAATTATAATATACATTTGGATGTCAATTTATGTTGATGATGATGATGATCTTGTTCTATATAGAAAACGAAAATTACCATGGTTTTTCGCTAATCATAAACAAATAAAAAAACGTATCCTCCTACATTATTGAAGAAAAACACAGATCACCTTGATTTTGTTTTTTTTTAAACAAAACATTGTCTAGTATCTAACGTTTACCGCAAACTCGGTAATATAATTGATTAAATCTCATAAAAATAGTAACATAATTTATGACAAAACTCATTTCTCAATTTTTTTAGTTTTACTCATTTTTACTTATTTCTATAAGCAAATTTAACATAAAATTTAAGAAAAAATAAATTATAATATACATTTGGATGTCAATTTATGTTGATGATGATGATGATCTTGTTCTATATAGAAAACGAAANNNNAAACGTATCCTCCTACATTATTGAAGAAAAACACAGATCACCTTGATTTTTAACAAAACATTGTCTAGTATCTAACGTTTACTGCAAACTCGGTAATATAATTTTATGGATGAGCAATTAGCGAGATTCATTGTTTTTGTTCTTATATAAGAAACGTACTTGAATTATACGTGTTAGCACATCATTTATTTAAACTTAAATTATTGTTAATTAGTGAAACCATATTGATTTTTTTTGTAAGTTAACAAAAGCTACATTGTCTAGATGCTAAAAAAAAACAAAATAATTTATGTCTCTCTTATTTCAATTATGTAATAAAATAATTCATAAACATTGTAAATTATTAACTAGTTGATGATAATATCTTCATTGAAAAGTAATCGTTTATTTGTTATTATAATAATTAGCGGTTACAACGCGCTCGAAATAGTATTCATAAATATCTTATAATCCAGTATTTGAATAATAAATAGTACTTGTGTTATGTATTAATCATTGCGCAATGTTTTCTTTTATGTAGTCTGTAGACTGTAATACGGAGGTATTATAACATAATTTTGTAATGTTTTAGTTTCAAATAGTTTTTTTTTTCTTGATTAGTCAAATATAACTAATTATAGTACAGTGGAACCTCGCTTAACGAGTTTAATCCGTTACAAAATTTCGGTATACTGAAATATATTCAAAAATACACATAATATGTGTACACAAGTTTTAAAAATGATGTAGCAATCCGGGACTTCTGTTCTCGTTATGCGAGGTTTCACTGTATTTGGTTCTGTTTATATATGTTTTCAATTGCAAAGTTCATGTCTTGTAGATGTTTGTGACAGCAATCGTTGAATTTATTGAGCTTCTTGGATAAACGTGAGGAATATCGTTCGTCACGTGACGTTAAGGATTATTTTGGTTCATTAATAATAAGATTCTTACCCAAATGAAACGGAATTGACGAGGAAAGGCAGCGGCGTGGGACACTGGCTGTGAGGTGAACTGGCCAAAGAGCTCCTGGTGCTGGACACCTGACTGTGCGGACACTGCGGAGGGCCGACGGCGATGGCTCCGGGTCCTCTTCGCCGCGTCCAGCAGAACAGCGAACTCTTATTCCCATTCTCTATGGCAGCTGGTGACGAAAAAACAACAATGTAAAACAATAGTTATGCACTGACCTTTGCGCGCGGGGTTTCCGCAACATCAACAATATGGTGTAATACCCAATTAGCATATAAACCAATTTATAAACGTTGCGGTATTCAAGTGGATTAAAATCGATAATGCGCAAAGCCTCTTCATCATATTACCCCCATTACAACGGATTCCACAAATACACGTTATTCCCAACAAGAAGAAAAACGATTTTCTAACGGAATAGCAGACGATTTAAATAAATTAATATGTTAAATATTTATCTCTCGGCATTAATAACCGTAAATAAATAACGCAAAGCAACAATAATTAGAATAAACTTGATCAACTCTAAACTAAATAGATAACTAAATTTTGTTATTTGTTTCACGTATTGGAGCGATGGGAAATTGCAGTTTTCACTCCACAATGGAAACTGTTACGTTCCGTTTTCTCGAAGAGACATTATTAATCTCTTCTCTCTTTCCGCGACTCGACAACATTCTTCGCTTCTGTAAAGCAAAGAGAAACGAGCACCCGAGAAGCAAATAAAATAAGCGATCCGCCGTTATGTTCGATCCATATAAAGGCATACACGCATTTTCCATCGGCAATTCAATGGGTAACATACAACTTCGATTCCACAATGCTCACTCATAAATTGACTCGTTGAAACTTTCAACTGGTTGCTTAATACGGTTGCGGAGATTCGTTGTGGTTAATTTTTTAATTGAAAACTTAATTGGAAACGGTGCAATTCCCATTTATACAAAATAGAAACGATAAAGATTAAAAAAAAACAGAGATTTTTAACCTTTCTGGGAGAGTTGCAATAGTTCGTTAAACAAAGTGAAATGAAGAAATCCGAACGCTATTATTTCGTATCGGAATGCAGCGCCGGATTAGCAATATCGCCTTGAAACTATTATACATCTTGGGACAGGTTAGTTAATGGAAGGACTATTATTAGTAAGGCGCGCGTGCAAAGTATGCGGAACGGTGGCAGAAGGAGGAAAAAATCTGGAGGATAAATCATGATGCATTCAAATCGAATTCCGATCGTTTCTTCTACGAGAGGCGTTAATTGGAAATTTGATTGAAATCTGAGCGCAATAATTCTTAAGTTTTTTTTTGTTCACCTCGACGCGAGTGAACGTTCGCAATTCGCAAGTAAAAACAAAACGAGTCAATTGCATGCGCGCTTTTCGACTTCCTTCTGAACGAACAATGAAGAAAATGCTAACTAAAATCGTAATCGTGCACCGCAAATTACGGAAATAATCTAGCGTTTGATATGCAACGATCCTGGGCTTTATTGTTGTTACGCGTTTGAGGTCGTCAAACCTTCGGTGGATTCGGTGTTGACTCAGAACTCGAGCAAATACAATGCGCTTATTTCGAACCGGAAACCCGCTACCATCCCGGAGATAACAAAAGGATTTCTTGTTGTTCTCGGTGTGAACAGTAAACACCTGCGTTGTTCTGGTTGAGGTGATGGAAAAGCATTAGGAGGGAACAATGCTCTCTTAACAAATTGCAGAGGAATGATCTAATAATTACGTAAGTTGGATCCAACAATTACGTTGCAAGGAAGTTTCCTTAGTGCATTACGCATTATCGATTTTATGTAAATACCGTTTATTTGCATTTCTCGCGTAATTGAAATTCTTTTTGTTTTCTTCTTCTCTCGCTAAAAATCTAGACGGCACGTGCCGCCGCCTCCGGATTGCGCAACTGTTTCGATCGATAGAATCCAGCGGTCACGTTGTTCACGATGCTTACCGACTGTTTTTGAGCTGGTCACAGGGCTTAGTGGATAGAAGTCGCCGTGCAGCGGACAATGGAATCCGACGGTCTGTTCCCTTTGTCTCGCCCTCCTCGTCAGGATGTAGAGGACGACTCCGGCGAAGAGCATGATGAAACCGACCACGATGCAGGCCGGCCCCAGGATCCTCGAGTTGCCCGTAAATGCGATCCTTTCTGCATAGTGATCTGGTAACTCGTTCTCACCCGGTCCCCGATACGAAGCAGCTGCAAACAACAAAAAAAAAGAAACAAATCCATCAGTTTTGCTTTTCCCATGACAACTAGGCGTGCCCCAAGTAAATGCACTGGGTCATGTATACACATGTATTAAATACAAGACTCGATCAAACTGATTTGAGTGCAACAGCAATCTTTATTGCATGACACCAATACCAAACAATGCAATTCAAAACGCGGAACAGTTACGAACGCCCACAAGTTCAAAGACTTTACAACTCGATGAAGGATATATGTATATATTTTAACTTCTTTTTGTATTCTCACCCACATTCTATAAATCGAACCGATAAATACTTTTCATACCATTTTGACAACGGTAGTAACCAACAACAAATTACCCTTTATCCGAAGATAATAGAGATAAAAGCCAATTAATAACAACTTTATTTAATCGAATCATTAGAACGAAACGAAAATAAAGATGAGTAATTGTTTCTATTTCAATAGAGAAAATCAATCGAGATTTTCATCAGAATGATGATACTTTTAACGATCGATAAGTTACTCTAAAACATTAGTAATTGTTGTTTTTTCTTCTTCTTCAAATCGGTCTGGTTTCATTTAGTTTTTTAAAGCAATTATGAAATCGCTGTAACGAAATTCGATATTTCATTAAAAAAAAATCATTATTTCATTACACATCCCATTGGATGATTGATGGTAACAAATGGGCGTATTTGTAATGAACAGATTTCAAATTCAGAGGAGTTTCATATACAAAATGGTTGTGATCGCTAAAGTGCATGTGTCTTTTGAAACGACGATGAATAGCTTCGTAACCAGTTGACTTTCTCGAGCGACACAAAGAGAACTTGTGTGACCCCAAGTGTTAACTGTTGAATAGAGAGTAGGCGGGAGTGGAGGGGTGGCCGACAAAAGAGAAAGCAACCAAGTGGAAATGACGGGAAAGGAAGAAAAATGACAAGAAAACGTGTACAGCTTTGATAAATTGATAACAGCGAAATATAGCATTTGAAGAGAAAGAGAGATATAAAGAGAATGGTTCAACGACCATACCATATAATTAATAGTTTCGATAAGAAAAAAACAACGCTGTTAAAACTAACAGACTATAATAATATCGCATGTGTGCAAGTGCACGCACGAAGTCTATTTTACATTCAAAGTTCACGGGGATGGTGTGCATTGGTGCAGGAGGAAAAGGAACAAAAAGAGAAAGAGGATTAACATTAAACTGTCGGATCCGATTTCATGTAAATTGCAGCGCAGCGTCCGTTTACATTAAGTTTTAATTGAAACACTTGCAGCGAGTATGTTCTTGTTTCGCACGGAATTACGCTTATTTATCTTCGGAACGTACATTTGGTCCAGTCGACGAAGGATCGTTAAGAAGGAAATTATAGCCGCAATTGGAGCGGCAACATACATATGTATCGCACTTATTTTTTCTGTATAAGCCGTTGGGTATTAATTATCTCATCAATTTGCTCGGATCGTATAGAAATTCGAGAAGAAGTAATAAAAATACTTTGTGTTGATTATAATGAAATCTTGTTATTTCTACGAAAAGTTTAATAAGACAAATTCTATAATTAATTTCAGAAAGCTGAATGAAATTTTATTTTAGTCAGTAATGTTAATAATCTGAGGAAAGTGGACAAAGAAAGTGTGTGTCTCTACTTAATTAAGTCGCTGAATATTCATGGGAAATAATTATAATATATAATAGAAAGAGTTAAAGCGTTTGAGTGCATAGAAAAGTTCAAAGCTCTTTGATAAAGCAATGTGTCTTAATAAAGCAATGTGTAGTAGGTTGATAGAACCAAAGGGAAAAGACGATGGTTCAAATGTCATTCCAACTGCAAAATGAGAATGAAAGAGAGCTAATAAAGTACTAGCAGTACAAATGTCTGCTTTGAATATAGCCAGAGAGTTGGAACAGATCCAGACGGTGTATTGCTACGAAAATAGTCATAACATAGTAAATATAACGCAGAAGAATGCGCTTATTGTTGATTACTACTTTCAGGAAATCAATTTGCGGTTATTAAGTTTTCGTCGATTGGCGTGTTTTCATAAGCAACAAAGTTATTTACAAAACAATTTTTTTTATTGGAAGAAATTGCGGCAAACCACAAATTTGTTCAGCAAAAGTTTTGGTTTCTAATGGAAAATTTCAAGTTGAGAAAACCGCATCGATAATTTATGAAAATGTAACAAAAAAAAAAGTTGTTAATTTGACAATGTTAAAATTGAGAATTCAAAATAATATGAATTGGTATACATTTGTTTACTTGAAAGCTAATGGTGTTTTCTTTGGTAATATGAATTGTTAATTGAGTATTGTAATGGGGTAGTTTGTTTGTGAATTATTATCAATAATGGGATGAAGGTTCTATTTGTTTCAGCTGCAGCAAGTAAAGCAAATTGATATATGTTGGCCTGGTTATTTCCAGAACTGGTTTCACTTCCTCCAGCGTGTCTAGCTTGCACTAAATAACTTTGTGAATCGTGGACACGCGAATGTGCAGATGGTGCACTTTCAAAAGGTAGATCGTAAAGAAGGTGATGTATTATATATTGTTTACCTGTTAGAACGCAACCGATGAGTAGGAAAAGGAAACCGAAGATCGGTAAGATGATCTGGCAGCTGGCTGTGACGACGACGCCCGCCACCATCAGGCCGCCGTCGATCTTCTCCACCCGGAGGCGGGAGACGGCCGCCGGACACCTCACCTTGCTGCCGTCCGTCAGTCCCTCATCGGACGCCTCTCTAGGCCTGTAAAAAGAGAGAAATGAAGAGGATCACCCCCAAAAAAAGAAAAGAAAATGAATATTAGCATATGCATATTCGAATGCAGACAAAGTATTGATGCTATTAAAAGGTGTGTCCACATTTTGAATCATACACACACCCAGTAGACCGCGACAATCAAGAAAGGAATTCTTTCTTCATCGACGAATACCATTTGGAACGTTGAATGCACTTCGTCGCGACAAATGCCCTCCTCTGCACAAAACTAATTTTAAATGCTCGATCAGTGCCAAGAAAATACGGGCACTCCTCCTCTTCGTAGGGAACTTATTATTACTCCACATACATCACATCGTCACCATTCATACAGCTGTCCTTCCTCTATACACATTTATATATATTCACACACACACACACACCAAAAGTCAATTATCTAACCGAGATAGAATCAACTTATTCATGTAATCTCATCAGCGCCGACATTGACCATCTCCTCTTCGCGTTTTGCGATATATCCGTTACCGTTTTCAAATAGGATCAATTCATTAATATAATTGCGTCGCTCCACTTTATTAACTCCACACGCCGTCAGTTACTAATGAATTTGCTCCGATGGGAGTTTATTAAAAAAAAATATATAGATATCCAATTTCCACACGAGTTAGGTTTTATATTCATTTCTTTCTTCGTCCTTTTTTACGTTAACAAATCCATTTACAATAACAACTAAAACCAATCATTTATCATAATCACAAATATTTATAGCATTACCAATTACTACACTAAGTACTTAATTTGTAATAATTTTGTATTATAGTTAATTAAATCATGTCTCTAATCCTACAATAGTAAAAAGAAATTCTTAGCATACAATCAAGACAACTTCATGAATTGTTAAAGATAAATCTAAATACACAGATTTTGTAGACGCTTTAAAAAATCATCGATTTATAACGAAAGACCATTGAGATTCCTGAAGATATTCGCACACTCTCGAAACGTAGTATTATGCGTACATATTATACGATCCGTTGCCATAGCAATATTGAAGTAACTGTCGCTGCCTGATTCGATACAGCAATTACCAAATGGTGTAGAAACATCTTTATAAAAAAAGTAAAACTCATAAATCGTATTACGAATAAATTACAAATCATTCTTCATTAAACACATAATTCCACTTGAAAATGATAACTCATAATTAACATCATGTGCCAATGTTGGTAATTAGCAGCGTTAATTGAAGACAAGATGTTTCACATTAGTATTATTGAATCGAATTCGTTGATACATCCACAAATCGAACATATTACGATGCATTGTGTAGCTTAACAACAAGATACAATTGCCATGGAAACACTATCAAAATATGCATGTTGATTAAACGAGGAGAACAGCAGCAATAAAGATATTAGATTTAATGCGAATGCGTTTATGAATTTTGGACGTCACGCGCATTAAACTGAATTATTTTGAAATCGTAATGGATGCAAAGCATCTATGTTAGATTAACTGATGAATATTGCAATTGGAAATCATTAAAATGCAAATTGCAAAGCCCATTTATCGAATGTATGTATGCATGTAACACGCTATGAAAATGTTTGAATGTTGACGCAGAGAGATGGCAGAGCCCAAGAAGTTTAATTACTAATCTGATGGCATCGCCATACGAAATTGATTAAAAATACAAATTGAATGCCGTATATGAAGTTGCGCATTTGCACGTTGATTAATACGAAAATAAAAGAGCGGAGAAAGTGCTCGTTACAAACGAACGAATAAATAAATACATAAATGAAGAACGCGTTTGTAGAAAGTTTTCGACTCGCGTAGCAAAACAACAACAATTTGTTCGCCTTATATAACAAATACATAGAAAGACCTGCTAGAAATCTGCACAAAATCTACAAAGTAAATGGACGTGTACGTTTGATTTCCGAAAATCCAAGCTAAAAATACTCGCAGTATTTATATTTTCTGCAAGTAAATTGCGTGAGAAATTGGGATTTCCCTTGTTTATAATTTCGTTAATATAACAAAATCGATTTTTCTAATTTTTGTTTCAATTAAGGAAAAATCTATTATGTTAGATTTGCAGTTTTTCAATAATTAGAAACTATTAGTTAATTGGAATACAGACAACAACAAAACATGTTAATTGTAAGAGTGCATTTTGCAATTTGTTGCTATTAGTTCAATGGCAATTACAAAATTGATGGTAAACAAAAAATAAAACGAGCTGAACTTGAGACGGGCTTTGTTGTTGTTAATTGATTGTAATGAAAATTAAGCAACGGCTGGAAGTATATAACAAAAAAGAAGGATGAAGAAGAAAGGGAATGAGTCACGTTTGAAGAAGGAAAGGAATGGATGGACGAAGAACAACTTTCCCAATTGAATTTAATGCTGACTGCGAGTTATATTTTATTGCGCTGCGTCTTTCTTATACGCGTATTATTGTTAAATCGATAGCGGAGCTACGGAGAAAAATTGCACAGAAACGTATAGATCAGGAGGAAACCTTCGAACGGCAAATCAGTGCCAGCCATTGGAGGCTTTCCCGAAGAAGCCGTTTCGCAAGGCCTCTGAAATATCCATTTTATTACACCATCCCCCCAACACATTGTTCTATGATGCAGTAAAACGAAAGAGGGAAAAGACACACAATAACAGAGCCGTAACATGGGAATGTCTAAAGTTATGAAATTGCTGGAATGGAAACTTCTAGTTTATCGAGATAAATCACTTTGCGAATTGAATATACGGATTTATGTTAAATAATAAAAGTTAGATTTTCGTTTGAAGCAATAAAGATGAAAATATATATAAAACGAACTATTTACCAAAGGTATAATCACAACAAAATTTCGCATGTAAATGTATTCGATAAATTACAGTTATTAGCAATGCAGTGAGAAAAATGTCTGTTATGCAACTAGTCTAGTCGAGTACAGCCTGCAATTTTATTGTGCATAAGATTAAAAACTTAATCATAATCTAATTACGTTTTCTCGTTACAGTATTTTATTGTCAACTATTTAAGAAGATTAAACTATGTTTAGATTATCAATATGCATTGCAACGGAAATGGTATTATCATATAGACTTTGTACTAAACCACAAACTAAATAAATGTAGTTGTAATCCCAGCGAAAGTTCTTTTAAAAATGTCTCAGGGCTTGTTCCCACTCTACATAATCGACTTAAGAAACAATCGGATCACAGTTGCTTTCATATGTGGAATACAATAGATGTTAAATTGGATCAAAGTACGTAGGTTGATTTCAAATAAAATCACTTTGTAAAAAAAAATATGCTTAGTAACGAAATAACGTGATGCTGTTTGATTTAATAATGTCATTAAATGCAATTCGTATAGAAAAATAGCAATTGATAACAACTATAAAATTGTGAAACGTATACTACTATTAAACATCATCATCTTAAGTATTGGCATGTAATTGGTATGACAGAAACAATGAACACATTCTATTTATAATTCATTATTATGTTTTTATCCCAATACAATGACTTCACTTGTTGGTTTCTTGTTAATGTAAATGACTGACTTCATATTCGATCTTCAATTATTTTCCAAAGAGAACTGATATTTGTTTGTAATCAATTTTAATAAATTGTTTTTTTTGTTATTGCTGTTACTATGGTAATTATTTGAATATTATGAGGTAAAGTTCATAATTTAATTAACTTTTTGAATCATCAAATTATTAATTTTAGTTATTATTGTTTCTATGGTAATTGTTTGGATATTATGAGGTAAAGTTCATAATGTCATTCAGATTATCTGCATAAAACAGCTTTTCTAGACATGAATTGATGAATTTTAAACGATTTCACATCATTAAGATAATTCATTCATATTGTAACACTTCGATGTAAAAAAAAACTCTAAATATTCAATATTATAAATTAAGTTTACTTACATTTCCAATGCTTTTATTTACTAATACTGGAGAGTTGCGAACAAATGCGATTCCTTATATGAAGTATTTGAATAAATTGAGTACACAAGTCGGCGTAATGTTAATGCTAAATGGTAATGGATTAATGCAATCACGATAAGGGAACAGGGACCAAAGTTTAAGTTGCAGATATTATGTGTATACTTAGTCTGCATGTACTGCAATAACAATGAATTTGGCTTTACGTACATTTTAACATACCAGGCCGGCTTCATGTTGCCGCCTGCTTCTAGGCTGTGCAAAGAGATCTTGCTCCTGTTGCATTTCGAGTGAAAAGTCATCGTTGTCCACTGTATCTTTCTTCGGAACTCCTCCTACCAAACGCACCAGATCAAAGGTACTACTAGATAGTAGTAGCACTTCAGAAAGTTCAGGATTCTACTGTCCCACTCTGCACATCATTATTGTCTTCGCGTAAACGTGGTTCGTTTCTAAATGCGTTTGCAGGAAAGTCGCGAACGATCGCCTCTGTTCTCAGCAGGAGGCAGCAGAACACCACACACTGACTGAACGAAACAACGACCTGCGAGCCTCTCTCGGCTCTGGGCACGACACAACAAATAGCATGCGCACTCTTCTCCGTCCGATGGAGTGAAAGCCCTATCTCACTTCATCCTCCATTCCCAAACCCACCCAAACTACGGATCTCTCCCTTAGTAGTAAATACGAGCATTTACGATAATAATACTATTATTATTAATAACGATAATAAAGCCATTCTGGAAAGACGAAAAACTAATTTAGACTCTAATCCTACTCATCCCATCGGAATTTTTGGCAAGCGGAACCGTGCGAAATTCCACAGACAAGTTTCTAAGGAATTGATAAGATGGGAAAATCTGTAACTCAATCTACATTTTCTTAGCCAGAGCTCTTTCTCAGAAGACATTTAAACATCATCATAGCACAACAAATATTTAAGAACACGCACTTTAGAATTCATTAAGACACAGAAAAATCGTAAAGTATAAAGAAACCAGTCGTTTAAGAAACCTGTTCTTGCATATAATGCACATTGTCATATGAGGATGAATTAACGCGAGTGTACAGTAAAAATTCATTGGAATTGTGTAAAAGTAGATATTTCCTTAGAAAAATATGATTATTAGTTGTTTTCATTCTGGATTTAGTCTAAAGTTAGTCTTAGTCCTTTTCAGGATTAATGACTAAGCGTCGAGGTAGTTCACTTTATTGCATTTAAAATGAGTCATACTCAAAGAATTCATGATGGCACATAGTTTAATAAGTGCAGATTTTTCCTATTGTTACAACAAAAATATCTTTTCATTAACTTTAAACTATAGTAATAAAAAAAAGCATGATATAGTTTATAAAGTAACTCACATTTTACAAATTAAAAATGTATCAATTGGTATTTAAAAGAATTTAATATCTAATTAAAGACTTAATAACTTAAGTGATTAAGTTACTATTAGTTTTGTTTGACTCGATGTAGCAGATGTTCAATTAATAGGTAAATTGATTGTAGAGCATTTAGAGAAGATACGAAGTGTCCCAAATTATGTTTCGGTGTTACTTCTGTTATTTTTTAAATAGTGCCTTCGGACTTGCCAGACGAGTCTGGTCTGATCATCAGCTGGCTTCTTTTGTTGCTAGCTGCAACGGATGAACTCACTCGCCTCATGGGCAGAGATTGGTGAGGAGAAGGAGAAGATAGGTGGACGCACTCTCTAACAGACACACCCGGAGGAATCAGCTGCCCGACTTAATTTTTATCTACTCAAGCAGGCGGCAAAACCAATTAATATATCAGCGTTCACAGTTAGAACATTAACATAATAAATAACTGCATTGTACACTTAAGAAGATATTTAAATTTAGTACTTTTGTAAATGACAATAAATTATTTTCGGTATAGTGGTTATTAATATATCAATAACAATGATGTTGAAAAGTTTTGCAGACTGAAATGTAACGGACAGTTTGATGTTTGCTGGAGGGGCGGAAATGATGCACCCCGAGTATGGTTTCCTGGATTCAATTTGAATGCGCGTTATATAGTACATTCGTATATAAATAGTTCGGCGCCAAGACAAAACCATTTCCTGGCACACTACTACCGCGCTCTGAATAATATATACAAGCCATATGAACAATAACAATGTTTGAAATGCAATGATCGAAGATATACACACACGAAAAAATAAAACATATGTACATATAATAAACACTGACAGCAGGACGTGAAAGTGATAAATCAGGATTAAAAGATTTGCGTTTGATTAATGATAAAAGTAACGCGAAATGCACTCGAATTGACGCGTTTCAGCAAATATTTGTTTGTTTACTTTTGGGGGGGGAGTAACATAAAAAATAATGTAGCGGTATTTACGGACAGGAAATTACCTGCACTATTGCATCTGATCTAAAAGACTACCTCCGACTTTGGCTATGACCAAAAGGTACAAGACTCGGTTCATTTCCAAAAGGGCGCCGGTCAGACTTCCATCGCCTAAACCAATATCTGCCGATTCTGGTATCGATATGCAGGTAAATCTGAAAGATTACGTGTTAAACTTTTTGCATGGTATGCAACAAACTTTACTCGCTTTTCCAACCCTTCGAGCTGAAGGGGTTAATCGAATCTGACGGCGGGGTGCATGCAACGAAGCGGCGCGCAAATAACGAGCAATTTCAATTCAAAATCGATACCGGAGCGGCGCAATTAATGGGCTTAATTAAACGCCTATATAATCATAAACTCGTTAACGCACGGTGATTAACATACACACTGCCTATTGACTGCTTCGTTTGCTTTTCAGCGTAAGACGGATTTCTGACTTACTTTCGCGTAGATAGGGTTGGATGCAGAGTAAAGAATGTTGTTTGTTTGTTTGTTTGCTTGATTTTCTAGGAGATAGATTACCTACAGATGAAGCACATGGCTCATCTCTATCGAAAGATCGAAGCGGTTCGAATTTAATGAGCGTTCGTAAGTTACTGAACCGACTTGGTTTACTAAAGCCGCGTTATGTAAAGTCAGATGGGATCAGAGCCAATAATAAATAGTGTGTCATGACCACAAGGGGAAATTGGAACAGGGAAGAGAAGGATTTTCTGTTTCAATACATACTTAAACGATTTTCAAACGAATAGTCGAAAGAACATTTTTGTTTATCATTCAAGAATTACTTCAGTTCCAACGATTCGTTTTCAACAAATCTTCGTAGTAAACGATAATAATTTGTATAGGATCAATTGGTTTTTCACTTCGAAATTAGATGTACAAGTTTTAAGTTTAAAATACATCAACCTTGTCAGTTTTGTTTACACTGATCATTGATGGTACAAAGAATATACCAGCATTCATATCGTTAATGATTTGTTCAAGGATTGAACGTTAAAGCGTACATGAATTCCACGTTGGATGTACACAGCTGTTGATGTAACAAATTATCGTTTAATCGCATTGTTCATCGTAATGAGGAAATTGAAAGCGGAAGTATCGTATTAATGTATAACAAAAAAAAAACAACAAAAATAACACGATAAACAAACATATAATGCTATCATCAAATTCCAAAGAAATTGTCTTCAATTATTTGCAAAGCTTTTTGCGTTTTGTCTTTTGTGAGAATTGAAATAAGTCTTTTTCATCGACTTCTTTGTGCATCGTCCAAAATGAAAATGTATATTCCCGTCGGACACATAGGATGCGATTAATGGATAAGAGGAAGTCGTTCTTCCTGTCGCCGTTTGCGGTTAATTTTGAAACGAACACGCACGTTTCTGAGTCCCTCTGCACGCTGAATACAATATCAAAAGAAATGTAAAGGAATAGTTAAAAAAAATAACATCATTATAGACATTTCAGTACAAAATAAATAACGTTATAAAAATAATCTAACTGTAGGTATCTAAATGATACAAAGAAAAGAAAGGTATTGTTCTTGGCGCAAGTAGTTTGTTAATTAAGGATCTGGAGTGTATTCTGTGGAGAATGCTTCAGAAAGCAAGATAATGGATTTAATATATATATATCCGAATTGTTCACGGGTAAATGAATCCTTGGAGAATTGTTTGTCGGCTCTAAAATTTATTAGTAGATGCATTTGGTGGAGATCCGAGCTTTGACGATCGTTCAGAGAGGATCCCTGGAGATGCATAAATGCAATTTCTTGCAGGGGAAACATTTCTGAAGAAAGACACGTCCCCCTTGCTTGTAACTTACAATTTCATACTTAATTCAAGACACGGACCGACCTCGTCTTATCCAAGACTATACAACTCCGAGTAAATATTTAACTTAGGGACTGACCTACACCCAAGAACTTAAAGATAAACAATCCAGAAGGATGTATATATCAGATGCTCCAACAGAATTTAAATTACGATTTAATTCATTTTGTTCACAAAATTTTCTGATCATCTCTACGTCAATGGTAGTATTTCATAAACAACCTGAAATCTAAAAATATTACATTTTAATAGAAATCTAATGCATCATTTCTAATTTTGTCTGTATATCTTCTTTAATTAACAATATAAGATGAATGATTTTGCGGCGTCGCAAATGGTAAGTTTCAAGCCTCAATCACGTAATATCTGACACCTTTCCACGCGTAATTGCATACAGAAATACAATATCTCTTTCACAATCTTATGCAAGTATTTGGGTTATTGAATTTGATTTTGTACAGTTAGTTTCTCTTAGATACAATTTATATAATCTTAATAAACAACTGTATATAAGATGACTGACTACTTGATCATAAAATTACGTTATCCAATTGAAAATATTAGATGCAATCATGTTATTTATTATGCTGCAGCAATCAGGGAAGGCCGTGCAAATTGACATTAGCATCAATTGCAAAAGAAAACGAAGAGGATTCGAGAAGCCTTGAATATGATAGTGCGACAATTTAATACAAGAAATCCCATTGTAATTAAGTATTCTTCGATCAATTCTCGATATGATAATACACGAACATGTTTTAAAACGCAAACAGAAAAAAGAAATAAACAGCAGAAGCAGTTTCGCCAATGTCAACTTCTTGAGGACACAACCTTGAGGGTTGCTGAGAGACGAATTATCAACGATTTTCAATTGGGAAATAAATTGAAAAGAGCACCTGGGTTGCAACAATTGATTCCCATTTGCATGTGCTACAGTTCCCATGCTAAATAATTGACGGACAAATATGAAGAGACCGGCCACACGAAAATAAGGAGAGCCGAATCTATAAATAGACATTAATACCAAATATACATTAAATCTATAATTAGGCAGAAGGGCCCCACCGGCTCTCCGCCACTTACATCAATGCGTGCTGTTCGGGCGAAATGGTTGTTCCTCACTGTAGCTCAATCCGATACATTTAATTCTTCCTTGACTGTGAATCAAGGGATCACAGCACCATTGTCATCCCTTAAAGGGCGCTTTTGGATCTATCATCTCGCCATGTCCATGTGCACACACACTGAAAACGCACTCTTACTTTGGATGAAAACCTTCACTTCCCATAGGGATTTACAGGGATTTCAGGGAGAACGGCTCGCCAGCGGCCGGTCCTTCCAGGACCACCATAATAAATGGGGAAAGCTTCCATCGACTGGCCAAGGTGGAGACATCTGGTGAGAGCTTTCGGAAGGCGCGAGAGCAAACAAAAATCACCCTTAATGCTCCACTCTTTCACAACCCATACTAACCCATACATATAATAAGTTCGAATGCAATAACAAATTAAATCATCATCTATTTTACTTTCAAATAAATTTTATTTAATAAATACAAACAGGTTTCTTTAAATTATTCAACTGCACAGTGCATAGTAATATAATAGAAAATAATCCATTAAATGGAGGAATAAAAATTAAATACATTTGTAGAGTAGCGAAGTTGGCCACATTTGATAATGATGTTACAGTAAGATTGTTTTAAATTTTAAGTAATTATTGAACAAACACTAGACGGTTTTCTTGTCGTCGCCACCTTCTGCTTCTTCTCCAATTTCGGTTGTAGCACCATCCGATTGCGCTTCTTGGTTTTGCAGCAATTGTTCGGCTTCGGTTCGCTCTTGGTTCTTGAGATGTTTGGGTAACCAGAAGCAGGCGTTCACCAGCTTCAGAAAGACCCAGGCCACGAAGGCGAGGGCGAGATAGGATAGAGTCCAGAATACCATTTTCCACACGTCGACCGAAACTTTTTGCGGTCTCATGTCTAACTTCTACTTACTGACTATTGCCTTCCTCTCCCGTGGCAACAAAAATACACACATTTACTAAAAAGCACTACATGTTGCTAGATCGATAGGACGACAATGAAAGTGCGCAATGGCTTAATCGGTTTTCTTGTCGGGCTCATTCACCTCCTGCTGTATCTCTTCCGCTTCGGCTTCGGCTTCTTTGTATGTTAATGCTTTATTCTTATCTTTGGCCTCCTGCTCTTCGATGGACTTTTGCAACTTCAGCAGCTGCTGTTCGATGTTATCGAAGTTCATCCGCATCCTATGACGACCCGCAATTACCTTGGATATGAACCACGTAAAACCGAAGATGCAGAAGACTATCCACATGGACAACGCCATCTTCTGAAATCCATCTAGAGGAGGTTTGCTCTCGTTCTCGTCCATCGTTGATATGGACGCAACCGAATGAAATAATGGAGTGAACACTTGGCTTGCTTCGCATCGAGTAACAACTATTAAAGCTTTGATGTAAGATTCATGAAGTGATCCCTAATTACGTCCGCTCTCCCCCTGTTCCACAATACCTCAATTAAATTCAAATTGATTTTCTTTCGCTTCCCGGATCGATTACTAACATATAGATGTACACGTAACAACTATTGAATAAATAATAAACTTAAGTAAATATCACGTTTACGGAATATTCTGAAGACAATCTCGAATTTGCACCCACGTTTGGAGACCCTGCAATAAACTTCCTTTATATATTGAACACAATGATAAATATATTTTACCCTTTTGGCAGTTTTCAGTTGCAGCAACACGAAAGACGCGAGGGTATCTTTTAAGTCGCTCACCTTCTGACTTTGGAATCTGTCGATGTCTTTGATCGCATTATCAGTGAAAGTACTAAAAAAATAATAAATCAACACAAATATTAGATCTTTTTTAAATGAAAAATAGCCTAGGCAACTTTATACGCATCTAAATGTAGAAAAACTGCAATCGGTTACCTTAATTTAACATTTGCACTGTTAACAACGGTTTCGCCCTCCTGGATTTGCTGATCCAACATATTGACTTTCAGCTCTCGAACTTCGTCCGTATCGACGGCGCCGAAAAGCCTAGACATCATTCCCAGCTTTCCTTGCTGGGCTTTAACCCTTTCCACGTTCTTAGATGCTACACTCTCTTCGGACGTTTCCACTTCGTACTGCAACATTTCCCTGTGTTTGCACACGCTGGACAAAGAGTTAGCGAAGAATAAGTACTCTTTGAATTGATCCACCAATAACTCTTCATCCTCCAAACTGGCATCAATACTTGAAGCCAAGGAATCGAGATAGTGTCCAGTCTTCTGCAAAGCATCCCCCATGTCTTTCTCTATGGCAGACCACTCGCTAAATACGCGGCCGTAATTAGCGTGCAGTTTATACACGTTGTACTGTTTTTCAGCTACGCGAGATCTGGCCTTGAGTAAATTGTAGATGTTCGTATGGAACGTCCCTGAATATACTTTCAAACTGTCGAATTTAGAATCGGTGTTCTTAAGACGCACGGAAACGTTCAAAGCCTTCAATTTACTCTCAGCAATTTGTAAATAGCCTTAAAGAAAAACTCAATAAAATGTATGGTCATACATGAAAATTGTAATGCTCACCGTTAGCCTTATAAGATTCCCTCCAACCATCTTCATGTTGTAGGAATTCCATGAAATTCTTATCCCATGAAAGAACTGTATGTGCAGCGACACGCAACAAGAAGTTCTCAAGACCGGCTCGCCTTCTATCGATGAAATCTGGATCGAAGGTGTCCGTGGAAAGCTTCTGCCATCCGAACATAACCCGTTTTTCCGGCAAGGGCGGTAGCACCACATACGGATATGTCACCTCCAAATAATCCCTCAACTGCTCGAACTCGGTATACCTCCTCCATACCGTATCCAATTTAGAGATCTTGTTTTGAAACTCTGGATCAGTGGCTCTGCAAACAAATGCGACTTAATAACACAAAAAAATCCAAACAAAAACAACAGAAAAATAAAAGAATGAACAACTTTAAGCCAACTGGATAAATATGAAACATCATGGGATCACTGTGATGGAGTGTGACTGGATCGAGGTGATAATAAACTGAATTAACACCTGACACTGGAAATAACCAGCTCTGCAATTAAATAAATCAATTAAACAAATCCAGCATAGGTTATTAATAAACTGTGCATGATTCGCACAAACATTTATTATAATGATAACCTGTTGCCAATATTTAATTTCTATTTACTTAACTTCACACCTGTACTGTTTTTGTTTAATTTTAATTGGGCTGCAGCAATTAAGCCGAGGCTTGTTTACTTAATAGTTAGCAACTCACTTAGTCTCTATTAGATAAACTGTGTAGAATTCTCGCAGGTTTAGTGATCCATTGGCTCTCTTCTCAGACTCTGACACAGCGATTTCTGCATGTTGCAACAGGATATCCTGCAAGTAGAAGATGTGGAAGATTGTTTAAACAATCCACAGGTAGCTCGATTTTTCTTTTATACATATATGGCTTCAATTCACACCCATGTATCTGCTTACCTCCTTTCTCTCCTTGCTTTCCCCATAGATTTTCTTCCTGTTCCCGTTTTCCGCCATCGCTCTTCTAATTCGTCTAACATTTAATGCATTCCACATGAAACTCACCTACACATTATTTACAAACGAGAGGGAATCCGTTTTGAAAACAAAACACAAACTAGTTACAATCTGACATATTGGATTTACTAATGTTATAGGCAACTTTATATCCACCTTTTAAAATTTACAGTTCAAATTTACTTACAGTTAAATAAAAGTACAATCTTAGCATTCAATCACACATTTGTAATTATTGATACATGTTTTATTCATATACATAACTTGGTATTTGCACCTGATAATTCTAAAAAATATTTTTACAATTTAAGAAATATTAAGAATTAATTTGAAAAAATAGTAATGTTCCAATTAAACAGTATTATTTATTATTAACCAGTTACGTTAAGGATTCATGATAAGAGGGGTTTTAATTAATTTTGTTTGTTACAAGATAACATTCAGAAAGTCCATGCTTTAATTGCAATGGAAGATGTAACTGCGTACAATATGGAGAAGAGATAAGGGGTCTCGTAAATAATGTTACGAGCATCGAGAATTTCGAAAACTCGCATAGCACGATTTTAACGTATGTAAATGCGTAATCGTTGATGGAGAATTGGAGGTCAAGTGCATTGACATCAGACAAAAACACACTCGCCCTTATCTAAGAAAATGATATTGTTTGTAAACGGAAGTTAATCTCACGAAAAATAATATAAATATTGATGAAATAAATAAATACAAGCAAAGACAATTTATAACAATGAATATTCCATTGAGGAACTTTATTATCTCTTTCTTACTCGTATAGTGAAACATATTAAAAAATACACATATGTGTACATACGTTTAAAAAAAGATGAAGCAGACTTCTCTCCTCATCGTCACTTGTTATGCGTGTTTCTCGTTAAGCAAAATGCTCGTTATGCGAGGTTCCTCTGTAGTTATCATATGTAATTATTGATCTATTAATCTATGTAGTCACTTAAATGTAATACAAAAAAATTTGGAAGATTTTAATATATATTTAACATAAACAATTACTATATTCTTTTTCTTATTTCGCAATGTGAACTATTATTTAGTATAATTGGATTGTATCAAAAGGATCACGGGACAACAAATTGCAAATATTCGTTTTACTGGCACCTTTGAAGTGCAAATTTAATTAAATCGAAGGTGTGCAAGTGCCAAAAAGTAAATTAAATCAACATTTGCTTTGGGCTTGGAAACAAAAGCTCTGCTCTCTCTCAATTATTTGCGGTTTGCACGTTGTCCAACATTTGATTATATGTGATCAAGTTTTCGATTAAATCAGTAACAAATGTACTACGTTTCTACAATAACAACTTTTGTTTAAATGAAAATTCACTATTGAATGGTTGACATTTATTCAATTAGATAGTATTTACCACATCCTTTATATGTTTGGTATATTTTATGGAAATATGCGAAGAAGATTCTAGAAAATTATAATGTTTTCGTCGATCGAAAAGCGTGCTGTTTTGCCTGTAATTAAGCGATTGGAACATTGGCAATGAGAATTATGTGATTTATGACCATTTAAACAATGTGCCGTTAAAGATATGGACGGCAGTTTGATAATAGTCCGCTGTTTTCATGCATTCATCTGAAATGAGATTACAAACATATTTCGAATGCACTTTGTACGAATGTAATGATATTCAGTATATATGAATTACATACATAACACGTAGTAGGTCATGGAACACGAGTTCTACAAATGCAAACATTTCGTTACGTTACAGTCAAAATTTGTTTGAATCAAGACAAATTGAATTTAATCCAAATAATCTTAATTTCTAAAGGTATATGGGCAAAATAAACTCTTTTCCTATTTCCTATTAAAAATTTGTAAAAATAAACAAAAACATTTTTATCCAAGAAATTTAATCAAAATAATGGTTTTTGTGATATAACCACTTTGTAATGAAATATGAGTTTCGAATGACATAAACAAGCTTGTTTGACAATGTTTTGCGTCTTTGAACGCACATATCGATGCATTAAAGTGCTCTGAAAGTCACAGTCATCAATAAACTTAAGTAATATTGATGTATTTCTGTAAAGTCTACATTCTGTTTCAGATGAAATATGAAATAATCGAATATCAGAATTTAAAGTTGTAATACAGCTTTATAAACTAACCTTCAATATTATGAAATAAAATTAAGCTTACATTATTGAATGTAAATAGATTTGATAAAGCTTATTTATTTTGTTTCTATGGTAATTTCTAACTTAACCATTTATATAGCTAAATTTTGAACCTAATTGGTTAAAGTTATCTATTACGTTTCTATGGCAATGTATCAACAATGTATATGTTCGTTTGACGTTTACATCATTATGAATTATCTAATTTGATAAAATTACCTAGACGAATGTGTCCGAGCGAATGTACTCAATTAGTGTAATTTAAATTACGTAGCTGCTAAAATTTGCAACTTAGATAAGACGTTGAGTATTTTCATTTGTAATGGAGTTGTAAGGTAAGTTTCAAGTATATTTATTACATAACCATATATATGTATGGTATAGTGATTTAAGTCTATGGTAATTTTAAAATTATTTATTTATTAGTTTGACGTTTATGCAATGATGAAACTTTAGTTGTATAAAAATTGGTTCTTAAGTGAAATTGTTAATTACAAATTAATGTGAATATTTGAAGGATACGTTATGAAGTAAGTATTAATGATTATTGTAAGTATACTGTGGAATTATTTCAGCAAGGTGAGTATTTGAATGTCATGTTTTAGGTGACAATGTATAATATTGAGCGTAAAATATTGCTAAGTAATGAAAATAAACAAATTTGGGTTCTTAAATGGAGTTGTTTATATGTAAACTGTAATTATTTGAGTATGTATAGATAATTCCATTTATTAGCTATGACCAATTATTTAAATATGATGAGTTTGATTTGTTAAAGATCTTTTGATTCTAATTGGATTTCGTATATGAGATTGTGATGTTTTAGGTGACAATGGGTTTTATTGAGTGCAAAATGAAGAATGCAGGAGTGTAATACTGTTAGGGTGGAAATGGAAAGTACAATCCATTGATTGTATGAAGATGATGATTGTACCCAGGTCGCGAACCGACCGTGGCAAAGTAACGATTTTTGCCGATGCAGCAGCGAGGGGTCTAGGTGGGAGCGAGAGTCCGCCTCCCCGAACCCGGCCCGTCCTTCCACGCTTTCCACCATGTCCCATATTGTCCTGTTTTCGGTGGAAAAAAATGGAAAGTCTGGAGAGAGGAAACGAAGAAGTCGCATCCTTCGCTCCGTGGCCTTGCCTCTGTCCCCTTATCAAAATCGGTACACATGCTATATGATCAAGATCTCGTCCACCACGTTGCGGCACCATAGCTGCTGTGGCGTCCGCAGACACACGCGCGATAGACAAAATTGTTGAATGTGTAAAGTCGGCACACAGTGTGTGTGTGGCTGCTTCGCACTGTGAATCGCTTGGTTCCGCAGACATTTCCACGCAGGACGTCCAACTGGCACCAAGAACTGAAACTGGAACTGGTTTCCGCGATCGTCGAAAGGACATCCTACCGAAGGATAATATCAGTAGCCGGAAGGAAGTCGCGCAGAGAAGAGTGTCGCGGAGTGGTGAAGTGTGGCCCCCCTTCGTTCAGTGTGCCTGGAAATCACCAGTTGGAATGAACTCGATGTTGGGCTCCTTCCTCACGAAGACCCACTGTCAAGAGGTGGGTAAGTTAGATTTGTAGCGAAAACCCAACCCCTCTGCAGACAATTAAAGAAAAGAAAAAAAAACTAGCATCAGAAGGTGAAAATATACCTTGGATCGTGCGATCGAAGCAAACGTACTAATTGCAATGCGGCAAAGACAAATGTCTGCCATGATTGATCCCGGCATCCTTAACATCATCATCATCATCATCTTGACCATTCTCCCTTATTCTTCAACCCAAGAGCGAGAGCACCCAGAAAGTAACACCTCGACATTGACCTCCGATTTATTCCGGAACCTTCGGCCACGGCCCCTTTCTTCGGTCGTGCGTGCTCCGAATTCCTATTGTAAAAATAAACAACTGCAAAGAAAGGAACGAACAGGATTATAATCAATTTCTCCACGAAATTCACATCGATTCCATTCATTATGCGGACGGAGCGAACAAATAAAATCCGGCAATCCGCAATCCTATTGCCATGCTTCTGATTTATCTGCGACTTCGAGGAACCGGAAACGCGTTCAACGATCGCCGTTTTATCAATGTACATACGTAATTTTATCAATTTTCAATTATAATCGTGGCAAATGTAAAATGCCAGTCGTTATCGCCGCTTGTAATTTGTATACGAAGATTACGCATTTGTAATTGAGTTCAACCCAATGAAAGAATTTTTTTATCTGAAATAGGAAACTCATCTAATTACAACTTCAAGATTAAAACATATTGAATTATAAACATTTCAATGTCTTTTTTTTTACATACTAAAATCTAATTAAAGTATAATCCGATTATTTCTACCAGAAGTTGATTATATCAAATTTATGGACTTTCTTAAAACGTTTGCAATAATTAAATTAATTAACATAAATCAATACGAAATGTGGGACAGCGATTGTAATACTGCATGTGTCTGTTTCAAGGGTTCTCTCCGAATTATCAAATATGAGATACATTAAGTTAAGACTTGTTCTCTTAGTCTTCATTCTTGATAGAAGTATCTTTTATAACTTCTTTTACATTTTATTATATAAATTTCGTAACAATTTTTCAAGGTAATACCACAAAAAGGAAAACCATATTTCATTGAAATTGAAATGTAACCATTTTCAGTAGTTTGGAAATATTAAAGGAATTTCGTAATGTATGTGTGCTGAAATAAACATAAATATTCGTTTTAAAAATAAACTGTCGTACTTTTCCAACTTATCTACGCAAATGTGTACGCTTTTTGTTGCTTCGGATCGAAGAAATAGAATACAAATATTCCACCATTCAATATCATCTTATTTATCACCCGTGGAAGTTAAATTCCTCCGTTGTTTGCTTGAGAACTAATTAAACACGTTTTATCTGCTGCTTATCAGTCTTGTTACTGTTTTGTTTTCACCACATCTGCAAAACACAATAGCTAATAATAATATTCCATGTAATCGAGTACTCAATTCTATTGCGATCGCTACTCGAAGTTAGGTAATTAGTTTGCGAATTATGTAAACTTGATTTATACGAGTTTTCGTTTCGACAAAAAAAAAAAACGCTTGTGAAACGGGAGGTGACAATAGTTCATGGCCTGATAATGATAATTATATTCATTGAACCGTGTATGGAATTGTAATTGCAATTTTCTTTTTAAATAGATTTAAATTATTTTATATAATTGACATAGTTTATTGTTTATAAATGTTTGAATCGCTTATAAAATTAATTTTCACTAAATTTAACATTTTTGAAAGAAATTTATTATTTGCAGTATTAAAATGTTATTTAATTAAAGCAAAATTTTATACTTTTCGTATTACAATTTCTAAATATTATATATGTAAAATGTTATGCAAAAATCCAAATCACTCTAATTTTTAGCGATTTGCAAAAACATCATGAGTTATCTACTAATTTACGTCAAACAACCATTTGCACTAATTACACTAATTGAAACTTATTTTTTTTTGCTTTGTGTCTTGAATTATTAAAAAAATAATCTAAGAAAACATGTGAGTAGTGCAGTTAAGTATTGTGCAATTAAAATCAGAAATAATTGAAATTTTATGATGAAATATGTAGCAAAATACAATAATTATTCAATGTTGAAAGTAAATTAAATTTGGCGCTGGAAATTAGTAAATTAGTTTCCTAATTGGTTGTGAAGTTTAATTAGCTTCGGATCTTAATACGAATCCTTATATTGTTCGTAACAACTGCAGGCTAACGACGGAAGTTTCTTCTATGAGAGAAAACAATTATTTAAAAGAGAAATAAAAAAAACTAATCGAAATTGCTCCATGAATCGATTCACCAATTGAACGGACAATGCTTGTTAACTTTTGCGAAAGTCCTGAACACTCGTATTACAAAGTGGCCGACGGTAAAGTTGCTGCATCATTCCGCCGGGAACAATTTACGTGGGTCTCTTCTACAAGCTGTAGTTTGGAGCAAAACGGAGTCAGGTTTTAATTCAATTACAAAAATTGCCGTTTATTTATTTGTCCACGCATTTATCATTGCGGTTTTGTAGTTCTTCGGAACTCATTACAAAAAAAAAAAACGATTTCTCATCCATAGAAACCCCACATTGTCTGCTACGATCTAAAGAGGTTTCGATGATGCAAGAACTCTGCACGTGTCCGGGATTTGTTGTAATATGTTGTCTGAGTTGTCTGTGACACATTCATAATTAACTTGATACGAATGTAATTCATATTGTTGTGGAAAATTAAACTTTGCGTGCCTTTTCACGATGAAAATTGCGTTGAAATATGTTTAATCAATACCATAAATGTTTAATTCAAGCAATAATCCGCAGACTTCTAATCGATTCGAAAATTCCATTAAATCTATTAGTATAAATAATAGTTTGTGATTAGAACAGTCGAGAGAGGATCGTGCAGAAAAACGAATCCTGTGATTCGCATTCCCATAGTTCGCAACAATTTGACGTGCGCGAATGGTAATAACGCTACCTTGATTACGAAACGCCGCTGTTATTATTCAATTGTTTATTCAGCGATTAGATAGAGAGAGAGAGAGAGAGAAAGAGTTCATTTCGTCCACTAACAACGTTGCATAAATTTTCGACGTAGCGAATATTTTTTGGATGATAACATTCTAGGAAACCGCTCAAGAAGAGTGATGAAACATTTTGCAATCGAGTTGAATCATATAGTTTTCCTTCAAACCAGTTTTTTGTTCTAAATTAAAAATTTAATGCACACGTGTATAATTATAATTGATTTATTCAATTTGCTGACTTATTTGTAATTAATTATTGAAAGTTCAAATATTTGTATGTTCTAAAATTATCGATATATAAAAATGATTATATTTGTTATAAATTGCTATAAAATTAATAAACACGTATTATATTACAGTAATAAATCGATGATCGTTATAATTAATCTCTTTGAGTATTCAATTTTTGATTAATTATTAATTAAACGAGATTTATTTTTGTTTTCTTGTTTGATTATAATACAAACAAAATGTTAAATTTTCAATCAATTTGAGATGAAAGAGGTATAGGTAAAGGATTATAATTGAATTTAACACGTTCCATGATCCTTTGCTACTTAAGTATACAAATTCCTCCGGATTTAATAGTGGAATAATATTTGATAAATTGTATATCTATTCATTAATTTGAGATGTTAAAGAGATGAATTGATGTCGACTTTTACTAAATACTAGTAACATAGTTTCGATATCGATTTTAATGCTGCTTTTGCGGATAATCCCAAGGCTAAATCCCTTATAAATCTCTAACGGATTTGCATAACGAATGCTTCCGAATCTGTTGATGTTGTTGAATGATTGAATTAACTGAAAGCTGGCTAAAAGCATTGACCATTCGAAATGTGGTTTCCGAAAATCGCGCGTTCCGTTTTATTTATACAAACGTCAGATCATTTTCAATCAATTTTGCACCAATCTACAAATAATTATACCATGGGCTCTTCTCTCCTGCTGATTTCGATGCATGAACCAACGCTGGTGAACGGATGCATCCTAGTAGCGATGTTGGTGTGCGAGTCGCGCGGCCGTCTCCGACGGTGTTTTCTGGAGGTCTTCCGGAAAATCCTGACCGGCATCCTATGAACACATCATCACTCCTCTCTCTCCCTGTGTGTATGATGCCGATGCTAGTATAATATAGTAGTGTATGGGCTATAGTCAGGGGGGAATCGCGTGCTATTTATAAAAATGAATTTACGCTGTACGTGTATCTCCCGAGTGGATCCGCGAAGCGCTCGGCCTTTTTCCTCCTTATTTTATTTTTGTAAGCACGTGGCGAAACCAGAAAAAAAAATACATACGCGAACACACAAGAGATGTTTAAGGAGGATAAGAGGGAAGATGAGGATGAGGATGAAGAGGTAATTGAAAATCCCTTTCAGTGCACAAACTCCCAACAGTATCACTCAATTTTCGGTGAAGGCGCGACCATTTATTTGCGGAAGTGGGTCGCAATCCAACGAGCGCGTTCATCAAAAAGTTTTTTTTCCCCCTGTAATTTTCTCATACGTTCGTATTTTTCTTCGTTTGCAGGGTGGTGGTTATTTGAAGAGGGCTAATCCTGATCAGCTGCATGAGATCTTCAACAAGTATGCGTCGGTGGAGAGGAACGGCGAGCGGTTCATGAACGCGGACGACTTCATCCGTCGTTACCTGAAGCTATTCGAAGGCAACAACTTCGACGCCAACTCGGTGCGACTGCTCGCCGGCATCGTCGACACCAACAAGGACAGTTTGATCTCCTATGCAGAGTTCCAGGCCTTCGAAGGTCTGCTCTGCTTCCCAGATGCCCTCTACAAGACGGCGTTCCAGCTGTTCGACACCAACGGAAATGGAGTGGTTAGTTTCGGTAAGTTTAATTACAAGTCTTAAGTCCTTGTTTTGTTAAGCAGATGGATTTCATATACTTTTAATTGGCTTAAAATTAAAATAAAGTTCTCAAGAAGTTTCTTGTACAAATCTACAATTTTCTTTAAGAATTTCATACGATTTCAGTATTCAATCTATAATAACGGTTTATGAACTTTATTTGAATTAGTTGTCTTGAACTTGCTGCTTTTTTTAAGTATTTAGTTCTATCTGGAAGCATAGTTAAGTGTTTCAAGTTCAAGATCATTTTGGCTAAACACTAGAGTTTGCGTAACGTTGTTGCTGCGTTGATTTTTAGCTGAGTTCGTGGAGGTGATGCGAAAGACGGTCCTCCATGAACGGATTCCCTTCAACATGGAATCGCCCTTCATCCAGCTGTACTTCGGCAGGAACAAGCAACGTGCCATCTCGTACAGCGAGTTCAGCCAGTTCTTGCACGACTTCCACGAGGAGTACGCGATAGAGGGATTCCGAAAGGCCGACCGCAACGGCACCGGCTTCATCTCGGTGCTGGACTTCCAGGACATCATGATCAACATCAAGAGCCACCTGCTGACCAAGCAGGTCCAATCGCACCTGATTGAGGTATTCATCTATTTATTTATCGTCTGCCAAGCCGATTAATAAAAACAAAAGTATTTCGCGTCGATCGATCGGACGGATCGCTAACAGTTTTTCCTCCCTTTTATTTATAGACTGCAAGTGGCAGCCAGATTGGTAATAAGGTGAGCTTTCCCTATTTCATCGCGTTCAACTCGCTGCTGAACAACATGGAGCTCGCCAAAAGGATCTACCTTAATGTGACGAACGGACACCGGAACCAGGAGGTCAGCAAGGACGAATTCATGCATTCCGCTCAGGTCATGTCGCAGATGACGCCCCTCGAAGTCGACATTCTGTTTCAGCTCTGCGATGTCCTTCACCAATCCGGGTGAGTGCGCACCCTCAAAAATATTCCCATCATATCTATCATCACTCATCCTCAAAGGCTTATTACATAGTTCTACGCATGTTTTTGCATTAATTGCAACGCAATTTATCAAACAAAACAAACTTGGCCATTAACAGATTAATTATTTATCCAGAGATAAACTTTTCATAACTATTAACTTGAATGCTGAACATATGAAAGTCATAAAGTCTAAAGCAACGTGAAGAGTTTCTTCAATGAATATGAAATTGAATTCCACTTGAAACTTCTTTCTCCCGTTTAATCTTCTTACCATGTAGTTCCATAGCGAGGACACAGTAAAGTGAATAACTTTGCGTGGGGTTACAAAGTTCGGGAAAAGTTTTATTATATGCGGAGCGGATGAACTAATTTTCTTTACAAAATACTAACTAGTTTATTGCTTCCATATTTATAAAGTCACCACTATTTTTCAAACTTAATTTAAATTTATTTGAAAAATCAAATACAGTGGAACCTCGCTTAACGAGCAAAATGAATTGTAAGAAAAAGGTCTCTTTTATTCGCGGTATTTTTAGAAGTATATTTTTAATACCTATTTATAGTTCGATTATACTTTTGCCTTGTGTTTTCTTAAATTTATATAAATATAATGTTGTTCATTTTGTTTACAAGTATGAAGATTTGGCAATTATTCACGCATTATTATTTTTATCTTAATATTTATTTAGATATTTCATAAGTCTAATATTGAAATGATTATGTAGTAAATTTAAATTAAAGTTTGATATTTGTGTAAAAATGCAAAATTGGTTGCATTTAACAGCATGATGTATACAAGTTTAAAAAAAATGAAGTATTGAAGTAGGAAGAAAGTAACAGTAAATCATTCTATATTTCGCTTTTCTTTTAATGCTCAGATTGTTATTAACGGAAAATGGCTTTGATGGGTCAGTATGATTTGTAGGGATGAATGCGATGAGCCGTGCTAATATCTTCTGGTATCTCTTTTTGTAGGCGGATAGTGTACAATGATCTCAACGCGATCGCGCCCGAGCAGTACTTCAAGCAGATCACAAATCGGCTGGCGGAAATCAAGGCTGTTTCAGTGGGTATTTTCAGTTTTCCCCGAGGTCCCTCGAACAAGTCAATGACCGTTTTCTCCGTGTTTTCTTTGCTTGCTTCCAGAGCCCGGAGGACCGAGGCGTCGTGATCCAAGTGCTGGAGAGCGCCTACAGGTTCGCATTAGGTTCAATCGCTGGAGGTAAACTTTCGTCGTGATCAAGTGAATGTCCGCAAACTATTAACGCTTTTATTGCATACTTATTAACTTATATACTTATTGGTAATAAACGATATACTGATGCGATGCGTTTTGCGATCTGCGTTTTTGCGATTTTGTAGCGGTCGGAGCGACTGCAGTTTATCCAATTGATTTGGTGAAGACCAGGATGCAGAACCAGAGGACCGGCTCGTTCGTGGGGGAACTGATGTACAGGAATAGTATAGATTGTTTCAAGAAGGTCATCAGGCACGAGGGCGTCTTTGGATTGTACAGGGGTCTCGTGCCGCAGCTGCTTGGTGTCGCACCAGAGAAGGCCATCAAATTGACGGCAAGTATACACTTCCTCTTCTATCTATTTCTTTTTATATTCCTCTCTCATTATCAAATGTTGACCAATCCCTTCGAGGATCGGCTATGGATTTTTCTGGTCGCGAGATCCATCGATCCTCTTAATTACAGAGCGAAAACTATGTCAGCATTATTTGATGGATGATGAAAAAAGTTTGGAATGACGCAAGGGAAGAAATGTCATCGATAGTTTCGCAAGTTTTAATCTGCAATTCCGAAAGTTTTCAGCGATGAATTGCGACTTCTCTGATTAAAAACGATCGGTAATTAGTCGAGTTCATTGCAGAAACTCGAACAATTTCTAATTGCAGCACAATTAAAGTCGGCACACTTAAAGTAATTTCCTAAAGCTAACACAGTTAAATATTATTAGTTCTACATAAAATTACTTGGAAAAATTAAATTTGTACTTTTTAGAAAATTGATATGTTATGCCCTGAATCCTGATCCATGCGAGTATCCAAACTGATTAAGATGAAACGATTAATCTCACGTTAACTTGTTGCAGGCTAATGACTTCATCAGAGATAAATTCTACGATAAGAACGGGAATATCCCGGTGTACGGAGAGATCTTCGCCGGCGGATTTGTGAGTTGACTCTAAAATTACCGTTAATCTTTTCAGTCGTCTGAATAAATTGTTTCTTTTACAGGCTGGAGGGTGTCAGGTGATATTTACGAATCCGCTGGAAATCGTTAAGATTCGACTCCAGGTGGCAGGAGAGATTGCGGGTGGCAGCAGGATGAGAGCGTGGCCTGTGGTCAAAGATTTGGGGTTGTTCGGGCTGTACAAGGGTGCGAGGGCTTGCCTGATGCGTGACGTTACATTCAGCGCAATCTACTTTCCTCTGTATGCACACACGAAGGCCTCGATGGCCGACGAGAACGGATACAACAGTCCTCTGACGTTACTTCTGTCCGGAGCGATCGCAGGAGTTCCTGCAGCTTCCCTCGTGACTCCCGCAGATGTGATAAAGACTAGGCTGCAGGTTGTAGCCCGACAAGGGCAGACCACGTACACAGGAATCGCCGATGCCGCACGCAAGATCTACAGAGAGGAGGGTCCAAGGGCGTTCTGGAAAGGAGCCACCGGTAATTTGGAGAAATTCACACACTGTTACTGATAGTATTTACTAAATTGAAATAATACATCTAGTATCTAGTATATTATCTAACGATCTCATTAAATTAAGTATTGTGTAATACTTTCTTTGTGTGATCCGCTTAACCAGATGCATCAATTCTCATCAAATTTATACTTTCAGCTCGCGTGTTTCGCTCTTCGCCCCAGTTCGGCGTGACCCTCTTCACATATGAACTTCTCCAGAGATATCTCTACATTGACTTCGGCGGCACGTAAGTTGAATGCGGAGTTCGGGGGGATGTTTTTTGTTTAAATCTGGCTTTGTTGATTTTTTTCCTTTTTTAAAACGGCCCGCGGAACAAAACCCGTGAGTTATATTCACATTAAGGTAGTTCTCTACGATTCCTTAGACTTCTTTTTATATTGTTTACACGATACACTGAACAATCTTAGAGAATAGAGAATGGAAAAAGTCTCACCGTTTCTATTTTATACAATATTCATTGATTTACTTATGATTGAAAATTTTGATGTTTCACGTATTATAAATTTGTAATTTAAGTATTTTTGATGTCACTGAAAAACGTAATGGTAATTGCTTTTTGTGTAGTTGATTTCTAATTACTTATCAATCAGTCTTGTTAATTATTGTTTGTGTACAAATTCAAGATAAAAACTCAAAGTAATTATTTTTTTTAATCAAGTAGTGTTGCATAAATATACAATTAATTTAAGGAAACAGACCTTTTTTTCTAAGCAAGTAGTTTGGAAATGGTGGGATTGCTTTCATCTAGTATTAACGAATCGAGTATTTAGGATGACAAACAAAAACACGAACTCACTGCATCTTTTAATGTTGACGGTGTATTAATTTTTAATTAACCTTCTTTTAGGAGACCAACAGGTTCCGAGCAGAAGGTTCCTGCTGGTCTTGAGGGAGAACAGAAGTCGCGTAGTCCAGACCATATCGGAGGCTACTCAGTGGCCTTGCCAATATTCAGCGGCATAGAAACCAAATTCGGACTGTGTTTACCCAAATTCAGCATCCCTTCGTCATCAACATCATCATCATCGTCGTCCTCCTCAGACAAGAAGTAAACTTAATAATAACAATAACAACATTAGCAGCAACGGGAGTAAAAAAAAAAACTAAACAAGACACGGCGTCCTCTCAAATAGGTTGTAAATTGTATACATATGAAAAAAAAACAAACTTTGTAAATAACTTTCTTTTCTGCTCTGCACTTACATCCACGATCGTGCGAATATTGTTTGAATTTGTTCTTTTGAGGTGGCTGGATTAACTGAAACGGAAACACTGATGCTTGTGATAACGTGTCTTTTGCGGCGAGATGAGCCTTAATATTATATATGAATTGTACAGAGAAGAGAGCGCGCGAATTACTCACTAAGATTATATAAACGTAAAGTTACAGCCTGTAGGAAGGTGCTTCTATCTCTCGCACACTTTAGGCGCTAAATTCAATGAACGAAAACCTTTTTCTCTTTCTCTCTATAAATCTCTCGAATATATTTAGTAAACTTTGTACAGAAATTTTGAACGTTGATAAAAAAAAAACACTAATTCTCATCATGTAATCAGCCTTAGATAATCCTAAACGAAGAAAAAAGAAAAGAAAAGGAAAGACGTTAACGAATCGAGTTCCTTCATTTAATTATTTAGTAGTCGATATAATAGATATAAATATATACATATTTATATGTGTTGTTGATTTGCGCATATTGCGCACGTAATCAAGCCATATTATGCGTGTTGTTCAATGAACCATTCCACATTCTAAACTAAATTTAAACAAACAAACTAAAAAAAATATTATAAAATAATGAAAAGAAAAGAAAAAACACAAACTTAATTCGTTAACCAATTGATATTACTATATACTAAAAATATTATAAATGTAAGTAATTGTATTCCCAAATGAAGATCAATTTTATATTATATATATATACAATACAAATGTTTGTAATTCACCGATGATAGAGCTTTTTGAGTTTGCTCTTTCTCGTTTAATGTTTTTGTTTAATTTCTTGTTGTTTTTCTTTCGTCTGTTAGATGATGATGTTTGTTGTATTTCATTTTTTTCTTGTTTTGTTTTGTTTTGTTTTGTATTGCGCGCGTCCGCCCTCGTCCTCTGCAAGCAGGATTGTTATTTTATATATAGTTATTACATATATAATTCCGGAGAAAAGGATAAGAATCGTCGGAGAAGCGGACGAAGGAAGAGAAGAGAAAAAAATAATAATAAATAATAAATAAATATATATAATTGAATTTTATTTTGAATCAAGATTTGAATACAATGAATTTATATATATATACACATAAATAAATTATATTATAGATATTTTTCTGTCCTGTACGAAAGATTGCGCATTTCTAAATTGTTATAGTTTATTTTAATAAAAATATTTTCGTATATACACTAATCGTCTTTATTTATTTGTCTTTATTACATTACATAATTATTAATTTTATTCTGTTATACCAGAGGCGGCCTACTTGCTCGTTTTTGAGATCTATTTTTATCTTTTTAATAGCGTCACAATTCACAAAAAAAAATCAATTCTTAGCAATCGAAGTGTTGGCCTGTATTTTACAAAGACAAAAAATAGGATACAAATGTAGAAGGACAACGACAAGGACAATTTATATAAAGAAATCTACAATTTCTTTGATATTGCTTTAAGGGTTAATAACATTTTTAAGTTATTTTCATATTTAATTTTAATTAAATAGTAAATAGTAGTCTTATTATCCAGTATCCATAGCAATCAGGAGCTATGACAATTAACACCATTGTAAAAAACATAATTGATCAGGTTTCTCTGGTTACGTTTATTATTTTCTATAGTACAAATAGGTTTTAAGACAATAACAATAAATTTGCAGCTTCTTGTATATAAACTTTGCAACAAATGTTAAAGCCTTTTATTTTTAAATTTGTAAAATTTGTTTTTCGATTAATTGATTACTTCCTATATGATAAATATTAAAATAGGAAGTAAATATTTATTGAATTATTTTAAATTAATTATTTGGGATTGTTGATGAAGTGATAATTTATGTACGTTATGTACATTACATAATTTGCATGTTGTTTTCTTCTATATAAATATGCAGAGGTTCTTGAATTTGGCAACAGATAGATACGGATAGTCGAGATGAAAGTATTCGTTTCGCTTTTGGTTTTGGCTTTGGTGCTGTGCGCTGAGACGGCAAGCAATTTCCGTGAGTAAATGATTTAAAAACTTCTTTTGTTAAAGTTAAATTCTTAATTGATTTGCAGCTTCGTACGTGACGCAATGCAAGAGGGACGAGAATTTGAACAAATGCGTGATCGACAACGTCTACGTGATCAAAAACCACTTCGATAAGGCCATCCCGAAGCTGTACCTCCCAAAGTTCAAGCCTTACATCATCCCGCAATTCGATATCCAAACTGGTCAACTGATGGGTTCCGCCAAAAACGTGGTGCTGAATAATCTGGATCAGTTTGTGCTGAACGACTTGAAGATGGATCTGGATAAGAACGAATTCTTCGTGGACGTCACCTTCGATAGGATTGATGGTGAATGCGATTACACGTTGAAGGGAAAACTGCTGCTTTTACAACTGAATGGCGGTGGAAAGGCCCAATTCTTCTTCAGTAAGATTTGCTGGGTTTGGATATAAGAAAATAGTTTTAAACTACGTTTTTTTTTTGTAGACAAGGTTCACGCAGTGCTGAAGATGACCGGAGAGGATATGGTTAAAGGCGACGAGCATTATAAATCATTTAACGACTTGAAACTGGTACTGGAAATTGACGGCGATTCTCACATCAACTTGGAGGACATCATTCCGAACAACAAAGAGATCTCCGACGTTACGAACAAGGTGATCAACGAGAACATCAAAGAAATTGTTAAAGATTTGATTCCTTACTTTGCCGATGCGATGTCGCAAATCGTCTCGAACATCTTGAAAGGCGTTTTCAACAACTATTCACTAGAGAAATTATTCACCTAAAAGAGCGCTTTCTATTTTAGTTTTTTTAGTTACGACACGTATTATTAATTTCGACTATTTATATATTTATGTATGCTATTGCTGTTGCGAATAACGAATATAACTTTTTTTGTTACATAACTGAATTTTGCACTTATTATACTAAATTTGAAATCTATATTCTAAAATGCCTGATCATCATAATTAAACGTACAGATTTATCTAACTCGAGATTATTTTATTAAAATCTTAAGGATTATTTCTTCAAGACAAGAAAATGTCTGTGAAATTTAATCTTGATTATCTTTTAAGGTCAGATTTGCTTACTATAATTTATTACTTTTGTCTCAATAAACGAAGGACTCCATTTGCTTCACTAACAAATTACTAAAAATCGTTGCTCGATAATATAAATATTACTTATTTATATAAGCCATGAAATATTTAGAATAATTAATTAATTATATCGATTTTAAGCAAAATAAACTAAATAAATTACATAAAAATGTAAATTTATTGATGAATTAATCTGTAAATTAAATTGTAGTTGAACTTTGTGATTTGATCTTGAAGCACAACAAAGCAAAGTACTTTTGAAAATTTATTAATGCGAAAATAAAAATGCAATATTTTATTAATTTATTGGTCATAATTCATCTCTGCAATAAATGTATTTTTCTCAGTAAAGTGAAACGCTCGATGGACTTGTTTTCTGCAATGAGCGTATGTCTGGTTTCTTATGGACGTTTTTCAATGTCAAATTTTCAAAATTCCTGATCGTAAAAACTTGCAATAATCCAGCAAAATAAATCATCGCAACAATGAGCATCCAATTATCGATGACCTTGTCTTTGCGTTTTACGTGCGTGAGTGTGATATAACACTTTTCGGAGCAGCAAGATTTCCGGGATTTTCTTTTTTTTTATTCAAAAAAGTAAATAACGTGCAATTACTTGGGTGGTTGACCCTGTAAGTGATCTTTATTCACGATGCACTTGGTATATAAATGCGGACTACCCGGATCGATATCATCCAGAAGAATGCAGGTGATGAACATGAATACGTTAATTGTCTTGGTGTTCGTGGCAGGAAGCTGTGCCGCCATCAAATTCCGTGAGTGCTAATATTCAATCAAATGGTTATAACTATTTATAATTAATTATCGTTTTCAGCGCCGTTCGTAACGCAGTGCAAGCGAGATGCTAACTTGAACAAATGCTTGATCGATAACATCGATGTCCTGAAGAAGGATCACTTCACGAAACCCATACCGAAACTGTTCCTTCCTCAGTTCAGTCCATTCCATATACCGCGAGTCGACATCCAGACTTCATCGTTGAATATCACCTGCTTGGATCTGTATTTGAGCCACATGGACACGGTCGTCGTGAATGAATTGAAAATGGACTTGGAAAATGTCGAGCTGTTCGTGGATGTTCTCTTCGAGAAGCTCGATGGACGCTGCGATTACCAGATGAAAGGAAAGCTTTTGGTCCTCGAGCTGAACGGTGGCGGAAAGGGCGAATTTAATTTAAGTGAGTAAATTGATTTCAATTTGTTTTTCAATAACACTGTTTGGATTTTTAGCCAAAGTTCGTGGTCTCATCAAATTGAAAGGTGATATGATCACCAAAGGTGGCGAACATTTCATTTCCTACAAGCAAAACGAGTTGTCATTGGATATGCAAGGAGATAGCACTGTTAAATTGGAGAATATTATCAATAACAACAAGGAGTTATCAGATGCTACTAATAAAATCGTCAACGAGAACATCAAGGACTTCATCAGCGAAATCCTTCCATCCATCGCGGACACCGCAGAGCAAATCTTCTTAAGCATCATGAACAAACTCACGCAGACTTATTCCATCGAGCAATTGTTCATTCAATAATTTAATAGGAGAATAAATAAATTGTTTCTTATAAAACCGGTTTATTTGTTAATTCATCATTCAATTTCCTTTAGGAAATAATACATCGTAAGGGACGTTTGCAAAGACTTTTCTAAATGTTTTTCCCAGGACAAGATTGAAAATGTACTCTATCATGGGATTCACGTCCTTGAAGAAGATATCCACATTATCGTTAAAAAGCTTATTGATGCTTGCAGACAAAAATTTGTTGTTTCTGTAGATGTTCTGGAAGTTCACAAAGAATTTGCCATCTAACGAAATCTCGTACTTTTGTTCCTTAATTTTCAAATACTCCTTTCCTTTCTTTTGGTAAGGTTCAGTTTTGAATTTGTAAAACACAGTTATTCCAGCTGCAAGATCATGAAATTAAAATCAACTAAAATCAAAACATAAATCAAATATTACTTGTGTTTCCGTAAGCCTGGCCGTTGCTGAAAATATCCAACTTAATAAGAGATCCCTCAATTTTAACGTTAGCACTTCCCGCCAACTCTGGGAATTGGAACTTAATTTGATGTTCGTTTTTGGACAAGTCGAAGTTTACTTCGGAGACGACGAAGTTGGAGAATCCGTGTATTTTCGCGTCGTGCACCTTCATGCTGAACAGTTTGTTCTTCACCTCCGCCAATCTGAATATGAATGGTTCCATAGCCGGTATAAACAGGCCAGGAATGCCATCAGAAATGTATTCCCTAGTAGCTAAGATATTGTCTGTAATGCATTTGTTCAAATCCTTCGAGTTTCTAATGCAAGGTGTCATAAAATTGGCTGTAATCAAATAGTGCAATAATTAAATTTAACTTAATGTTATCTTTACAACTTACGAATTTCAGCAGCAAACGAGGAAGCAACTGCTATAAATATTAATAAACAAGTCTTCATTTTGCTATTACTGTTAAGTGAGGTGAAGATGTTTTAGTATTTATACAATTTTTAGCCAAATAAAACTAGTTGAGCATGGAGAAACAGGTTTGGAAATAAACTAAAATATTTGCTAATAGTTGTTCAAAATAGATGTTGCAGTTAAAAAACATCAGTAAAAACATAATTGTAATCAAGTTTTACCTAATTGAAGACTTTTACAATAAAAGATAAAATGAAATGAAAATTGGTTTCTATTATTATTTATTGCTAATGAAATTTAAAAAATTGAAATTGAATCATGTATTTAGAGTTGCTTATTAAAGAGCTGTAGTTTATTAACACACCTAGTGAATTTTGAAAGAAGCGAAATCTTATTCCATCTTTAATAAGAAATAAATGGTTTAAAAGCGCTTTAGTTGTTTAACGATTGCAATAAAACATGTTAACAGATCATTTATTTTCCTTTAGGAAATAATTCATCGTAAGGAATGTTTGCAAAGACCTTCCTAAATACGTTTCCAAAGACAAGATTGAAAATGTACTCCATCATGGGATTCACGTCCTTGAAGAAAATATCACTATTATCGTTGATGAGTTTATTGATGCTTTCAGACAAGAATTGATTGTTTCTGTAGATGTTCTGGAAGTTGACAAAGAGTTTCCCATCTATAGAAATCTCGTATTTCTGCTCCTTCATTTTCAAATACTCCTTTCCTTTCTTCCGGTAAGGTTCCGTTTTGAATTTGTAAAAAACAGTAATTTCAGCTGCAAGCTCATGAAATTAAAATCAATTACAATCAAAACTTAAGTCAAATATTACTTGAGTTTCCGTAAGCTTCGCCGTTGCTGAAGATATCCAACTTAATAAGAGACCCCTCGATTTTAACTTTACCCGTTGCCGTCAACTCGGGGATTTCAAACTTAAGCTGATGCTCGTTTTTTGTGAAGTTGAAGTTCACGTCGGAGACGTCGAAGTTGGAGAATCCGTGAAACTTTGCGTCGTGCATCTGCATGCTGAAAAGTTTGTTCTTCACCTCTGCCAAACTGAATTTGAATGGTTCCATAGCCGGTACAAACAGGTCAGGAATGCCATCAGAAACGTGATCCCTAGCAGTTAAGATATTGTCTCTAATGCATTTGTTCAATTCCTTCGAGTTCCTGATGCAAGGTGTTATAAAACTGGCTGTAATCAAATAGTGCAATAATTAAATTTAAATTCAACTTATCTTTGCAACTTACGAATTTTAGAAGCATATGAGGAAGAAATTACTACAAGCAATACTAAATAACTCTTCATTTTTATATTATTGTTAAATGAGGTAAAAATGTCTTAGTATTTATACAATTTTTAACCAAATAAAACTACTTGAGCACGGAGAAACAGGTTTGGAAATAAACTAATATATTTGCTAATAGTTGTTAAAAATAGAAGAAACATCAGTAAAAACTTAATTTTAATCAAGTTTTACCTTATTAAAGATTTGTAAAACAATAGAAAAAAAAATGAGAAATTTGTTTTCTAATATTATTTATTACCACTGAAATTTTAATTGAAACATGTTTTTAGTGTTGCCTATTAAAGAATTGTAATTTGTTAACACATCTAGCGGATTTTGAAAGAAGCGGAAACCGCAAATCTTCTTAAGCGAAATGAATGAATTAAGAATAAAAAATCTTATAAAACCACTTTATTTGTTTAACAGATATTAACAGATCATTTAATATCCTTTAGGAAACAATTCATCGTAAGGAAAGTTAGCAAAGACTTTTCTAAATACGTTTCCCAGGATAAGATTGAAAATGTGCTCCAACAAGGGACTCAAGTCCTTGAAGAAAACATCCAGATTATCGTTGAACAGCTTATTGATGCTTGCAGACAACAATTTGTTATTTCTGTAGATATTCTGGAAGTTCACAAAGAGTTTCCCATCTAAAGAAAACTCGTACTTCTGCTCTTTGATTTTTAAATACTCCTTTCCTTTCTTCTGATAAGGTTCCGTCTTGAATTTGTAAAACACTGTTATTCCAGCTGAAAACACGTAAAATTAATTGTTAATTAAATCAAAAATGTAATCAATCTTTACTCGTGTTTCCGTAAACCTGGCCGTTGCTTAAGATATCCAACTTAAGTAGAGACCCCTCGGTTCTAACGTTACCACTTCCAAACAATTCGGAGAATTCGAACTTAATCCAATGCTCGTTTTTGGTGAAGTCAAAGTTCACATCGGAGACAACGAAGTTCGAGAATCCGTACAACTTTGTGTCTTGTATATTCATGCTGAACAGTTTGTTTTTCACCTCCGCCAATTTGATTTTGAATGGTTCCACGGCCGGTACAAAGAGACCAGGAATGCCATCAGAAACGTGCTCTTTAGCAGATAGGATGTTGTCTCTAATGCATTTGTTCAAATCCTTCGAGTTTCTGATGCAAGGTGTTATAAAACTGGCTGTAATCAAATAGTGCTATAATTAAATTTAAATTAAACTTATTGTTACAACTCACGAATTTCAGCAGCAAATGAGGATGCAACTGCTATAAATATTACTAGACAAGTCTTCATTTTGCTATTATTGTGAGGTAAACATTGCTTAGTATTTATACAATTTTAAGCCAAATAAAACTAGTTGAGCATGGAGAAACAGGTTTGGAAATAAACTAAAATAATTGCTAATAGTTTTAATTTATTAAAGATTTTTGCAAAAAATTTAAATTGAAATATGTAATTTGTGTTGTCTATTAAAGAAATGTAATTTGTTAATACACCTAGTGGGATTTTAAAGAATTTCTTTAGTTCAGATGATTTGGCGCTGCTCGTACATATTTAATACGCAACCAAATATACACACATAATTCAAGTATACTTTTTTTATGAGTATTTTATAAGAAATTAATGAATTTGTTTTTGTTGTTGTATTTTTATTATAAAGAAATAGAACAAATCTTAACAAAATTATAATATTTCTAAAGGAAATAATTCATTGTAAGGGATGTTTGTAAATATTCTGCTTAATATCCTCCCTAAAACTAGGTCGAACATGTATTCAACCATAGGTCCAAGATCTTTCAGGAAGACGTCCTTATTTTCGTTAAACAGTTTGTTAATAGTATCAGAAAGCAGTTGATTATCTCTGTAGATGTTCTGGAAGTTAACGAACAGTTTCCCGCCTATGGAAATCTGATACATTTTATCCTTGATCTTTAAATATTCCTTGCCTTTTTTCACGTAAGGTTCCGTCTTAAACTTAATTAAAACCTCGACGTTGGCTGCAACAATTAACATGTAAACATTGTTAAAATAATTTACATAAACATTACTTGTATTTCCATAAACGTGACCATTGCTAAACAGATTTAATTGAATCAGAGATCCCTGCAAATTAACGCTTGTTGTTCCAACCAATTCGGGAAAATCTATCTTGAGCAGATGCTCGTTTTTGCTAAAGTTAAAGTTTAGATTTGGTACATTGAAATCGGATAAACCTTGGACTTTCGTATTGTGCATTCCAATGCTAATAATTCTGTTCTTTATCTCAGTGTTGGTGATTTTTAACGGATCCAAAGGCGGTATGTACAAACCGGGAATGCCTTTGGAAATGCGTTCCTTGCAAAACTCGATGTTGTCTTTAATGCATTCATTCAGATCCTGAGCGTTTCTTCTGCACGGTTTTATGAAATTGGCTGCATTACAAGTATTATTAATTGGTTTTGATCATCTGATGGTTATAACTTACGAAGGCCGGCCGCTAATGAAGAGGCGAGTGTCAAAAGGATTACGAAGCAAATGTGCATTATGTAATTAATATAAATTTATTGAAAACACGTTACTATTTATACAGATCGATGCAAAATAAAACTAGTTTAAAAAAAACATCTATCAAACAGGTTAACTAATTTGTTTGCAATCTGTTTTTGGCGATGAATCAAACAAATAATTCGTTGTAGGAGCACAAGTCGAAGAAATTATCAATGGCTTTGTCCAATATATCGTGAAACTTATCTTCTAGTACCGGAATCAACAATTTGAAGATGTATTGGCTGTTAGCATTGAGAATCCTATTCATCACCTCCGACAATTCCGGTTGACCTAAGTAAAGGTTTCCGTAATAAGTATACA